TACTTAAACTAACTGTTATAAGTAATAATAGTTAGAAAATAAAATAGAAAACGAAAAGAAAAGAAACTTGTCAAAACACAAACAAACAAACGAACGAACGAACGAACAGAAGAGCAACACGTTGGAGCCATTATTACAAAATATGAACGTATGGCGAACAACACGGCTTATTAAGTCACGTACAATCATTTGCTGCTGACAGTTTCTTCAATTACTTATAATTTCTTTTCGCGTTTTTGTTTTCAGCTCTTTCTGATTGTGGGGCGTCTGGTGCGCCCAAGAAATTGTGCACTTCAAGCATAAGAACCAACAACATACGAGTACTACTTACTATATTTTATTACGAATTCAAGCAGCTGCACTAACAGATGATGAAGCGCATTTTTAAATACAAGTACATAGTTTTTTTATAATATATACTATACTTGAAAAGCAAGTGCTTCTTCACATTATTAATTGAACATGTATTATAAAAACTATGTAAAATGTTACAATTGCAACAATTCATACATAAGTAGCTGGCATCATAATTGAATCTCTGATAAAACGGCAGAGTGTGTTTTGAAATGGTTTGTTTTGTTTTGGTTGTGTTTTGCGTTTAAATCGTTCTATCAACTCTTTTTTTTTGCAACTGAAGAATAATGTAAAGATATAATAAATGTGATGCGGAGATGTGGCAGCAAATATAACTATTGATGTTAAATCAGCAAAAGCAAGTCATTGGCCTTCGCTCACAGTACAAAGTTGTTTAACATTAAAGCTCATTTTTTAATTTTTTTAAAGGAAACTAGCTACAACGACTTCTATCTAACTTGAATCCCATTTACTTTTATTAGAAATTCAGTTTCTGTCTAGATTTTATGGAATGATATCAGAAAATGACAATTTAAAAAACAGATTGCAAAAATCATACCAAACAGGAAAACAAAACATCAAACGTTAGATATAAAGCTCATAAAAATACAAGAAGAATCTTTACGAACACAATAAAAAGCTACAACAGTCCATATATGTTATATTGAGGCTGTTTTAATATTAGACCTTCAGAGACGAAAACTAGATTGTTAATGCTGCTAGCTAGGAGAAAACAATGTAAACCATAAAGAACGCTGACGAACTTTATATGTAACTAGTATTTATATAAACAAATTGTATTGGAAAACCGAAAAGACAATTGACATGAAACATGATTCCACTCCTTATACCAGATCAACACACATCAACCCCATCGTCATCAAGTGTAAGCAATTCCTATGCCTAGCTCTTCAGTTTTTTCTTCCAAAATCGCAAAACGTTTCTGCCACTTGAAAGTAATATTCAATAATCGTTTTATTAGTTGGATTTTATTATATTTAAAAAAAAAAAAACTAGCACACTTTTTTACCCAAAGAAAAGCTTTATTGCTTGTCCTTTTTGCCAATAATTATATAAATATGTATTTATACCCCTGCAACTAAACTCAATACACTTTTGATTCAACTCCATCACATCGTCACAATGGTTAACAATTCTGCGACCCTTTAGAGTAGAGACAACAATATAAAACTCATCAAGATTCAATAAAGATATGTCGCTGACCTACCTTAAAATAGAAATGTTTATTTCTCTACGGTTTTATTTATAAAATTGAAGCTGATAAGATTGTTTTGTGTAGATCAGTAAAAGGCTCTCTAATAAAATGTGTTTATTTATGTGTATAAAAGAGCAATCATTGTGAGAATCGTGCTAAATTGAATAAAGTCGTGTAACCATATACAACATTTAAATCAAAATCAAGTTAAAAAAGACCGTGTAAAAACAGAATTAGGTGCACATATCTTTAATATATTTCAAATAAAAACTAGAACTTTTGGCAAAACATAAATACAACTTATGCGAAACAATATACATTTATATTAAAAACTTTCTCTACTATGTATATACATAAACTGATAATGAACACTTATATACTCACTTCTATATATACTTATATGTTAAAATAAAATAAGACCGCTTTTGTTTCAGTTGAATTCTTGAGTTTCGCGTGTGAACCTCGCGTCTAGTCCCGCCTGTTATCGACGGGTCTTCATATATATATTTATTTAGAATTGTTAATGTGTCAATATTAATCGTTGCGGAAAGGTGAAAGGTACTTTGACAATAAGTATAAGCTCGTACAGAAATACATTTATGTCTCTAGTCTAGCGGAATTTTATTTGAAAGGGTCACTTCTTATGGAACGTCAAAAAGAAAATCGTTAAGATTGATTTGCAATCGAGAACAAACAAATAAAAGAAATTACCTAAATATATAATATACATACATATGTATGTATAAACATTCTTGTAGTGTTAGTGCTATAACAGACATGGCACGTCAATCATGAGCATAAGTGCCCTGATACTGCACAGACGAAATGTCTATAAACGGCGAATGTCTGGTAGAGACGGAATTAAATGTTAATATTGATATTTTTAGGTTTGAACTTGTAAAGAAACAAGAATATGTAGAATGCCAAAGTCTAGGTCCCTTGATCTGACTCCCACAGAATATCATAATCAAAATATCTATGTTTTCAGATAAATTATTTTTAATTTAATTACTTTATTTGTGTGTGTGACAAAAACCAGACAAAAGGAATTGTTTCGACTTGCATTGTGTGTGCCACGCTTGCTTCTTTACTTATACATTTTTAAGAGAACTTACGCTCTCTTGCTTCTACCGCTTGATCTAAATGCGCTCTCTGGCTCCTTTGCGACAAGTTGGGGCGTTCGACCACCCACGCTCCAACTTGTTCGTACTACGTCATGCAAACGGCTCGACTCACGAATGTTAGGAAAAGGAGCTACAAAACATATGGCAAACAAAGCCTACCGTACATTTAGTTTTCTTCTTCCCTATCTTGTTCCTCTCTTTCTGCTTTGTTGTGGCGTCGCTTTGTCTGCTTATATCAAGCCCAACTATGACGATGTGAAAGAAAGAGAAAACATGCGCTAACAGCTAAGCCAACAGTTCGTGTATGTATAACTGTTTTACACACATACGCGTAAGTATGTATGTTAATGCACGCAATTTTACTGCGTAATTAAAAAATAACAAATAAAAACCAGTGAATACTTACACTTACACACAAATAAACATATTGATTTTGATTGATTGATTTTAAAATTGGACCCTTTAATTATTTAAAACACATTTTCAAACACTTAAAAAAACAAAACAAAAAAATTTGGCACTGCACAATTGATTTGCAATCACACGCACATACATACATACATATGTATGTATGTATATTTCTAGACAGCACATAAATCGCGCGGCGGTTACGCATTATTTAACACATATTATGCACATTTTATTATTTTTGTACATCATTTTACTATTATTTCAAGTATCAGCTAAACGTTTGCTATTAGTTTTCGGCAACTACAAAGACCGACAACGCGACGCGCTCCATAGGTCGAACAAAACTAAGCCTTGCTCTGCAGCTGCTCTCTTTAAGAATGCAAAAGGAAGAGAAAAGTATAAAAAATCTTAACTGTAAATCAACTCTCGCGACTGCTATACGTAGTATGGGGAGTAGCAAGGATTGCATTTTATTTAATGCACAATTTTCACATGTTAAATTGCTTTATTTCTTATTACTAGTATTATATACTAATTGTGCACCTTTTGTTTTATATCATACGAGCAGTTCGGCCAACATTAAAATGCTGCGATTATATACACCTAGTATGGGCTTTCTTCTTCTTGCCTGCATTCTGGGAGCAAACGAAATATCATCAAAACGATCAAATAATAACCAAATATTTGAAAGTATTATGAAAGAAAATGAGGATGAAAGTGACTTCAATGATTATCAAAATCCAGATCAACTAGAAGAAAGACTTTCAATCATTTTTTCCAATCCAAGCGAACAACAATTAACAGATCTGCAACAGCTTTTTTCTGAAATACGTACTAACGCAGCAGAAAGTGGTAATGAACCTGAAATTTCTGCAAAAGATATAAAACAACTAGGAACAATTTTTCCCAATGCAAACGAATCCCAAAAAAAACAGTTGCTAAGTCTTTTTCAAAAAGAATTGGAGATTGAGGAAAATACTGATTTAGCATCAATTCCAACAATTTCCCAAACCCAAACTATCTCCAACACAACCGACACAATTCTTGCTTGCGCCTCGTCACAAATCTGCACGCATTGGCGAAAATGTCGAAACGTTACAATGGAGGACTTTAGGAGACCACACACATGTCCAGCTCGAGAACTATGCTGCAAAGAGGCCGATAGGGTAAGTACATATGTGTGGCTTTTTTAATGATTGCATGATATAACTACGTATAGTATGTGATTAGAAAGACAAGACGAATCTAAATACCCATTCTAAATATAATTTGTTGATAAGTAACACTGGCTGGTACTTACGCACTGTCCTGAATTCTCAGCCTCAATTCCGATACTGTGAAATAAAGTCACCAAAATGATTTGGTCTCGAAATGAGCTAAAATTAAGTTTTGTTCTTGTGTTCATTAGGGGAATTTCGATTAGTAGCTAGTGATAAATCATTACTGATTTTATCTCTTAAATGCTATAATTTGTGATTGACGATTATTTATTTTATTTTATTTTTTATTTATTTATTAACCTTAAAGAAGTGAAAACATTTAGTAGTTGTAGACAATGCTGTTAACAATCAGTAAACAGTGACCGTTCTCCAGAGACCAGACAACAATCTGAAATCACAAATGAATACCTTTTAAATTATTAAGTATTATGACATTTTTATTTTGAATTCTTCAGAGCGAAGTTTCCCTATGGAACTTAAAAAAGTGCAGGTGCTTACGTGTCAAATGAATACCTATGTGTATACAAAATAATGATAAAATAATGATGAAAATATGGAATATGCGGTCTAAATTTTATTTTCCTATTGTTCAGTTATGCTTACAATAAATAGATAGTCCATATTTCAAGCGTTTCTTAATTCAAGCTAGATCTATTTCAGCTCGAAAAGGCAGATATGCCGACAAAGCCCAACGGTTGCGGCTATCATAATCCCTATGGCGTTACACTGGATATGCCCAATGGGGAAAGCGAAGCCACAACCAGTATTGGCGAGTTTCCCTGGGTAGTGGCCATTTTGGATTATGCAAGGCGGACTGAAAAAATCTATGGCGGAACCCTAATAGCGCCCAATGTGGTTTTAACTGCAGCCCATTCCTTGAGAGGGAAGGCAGCTGAAGATCTGCGGGTCATTGCTGGGGAATGGGATCCCCAAAGGACAACTGAAGCGTATCCAAATCAGACAATTTTGGTCAAGGAAATTATAATTCACGAAAGCTATAGCGTATCCGCCCCTTTCTATAATATAGCCTTGCTTCTCTTACAAAATCATTTCAGACTCGATGTACACATTAATCCCATATGTTTGCCAGACACACAAGTTCGATTCGATTTTGAAAACTGCTATGCGGCCGGATGGCAGAAAGGTGCATTTTTTGCGGATAATACCAATTCGCCAGCTATGCTGCAGAAAGAGAAATTGTCTGTAATTCCGCACACGGATTGTCAGAATACGCTGCGCAAGAGGACGAGCGAGTATTTCGAACTACACCATCATTTTATTTGTGCGGGGGGTGGGGAGAAATATGTAAATGCTTGCGTAGGCAATGCTGGTACAGCCCTTATGTGTCCCATTAAAAATTCGCCAAATCGTTACTATATAGCTGGCATCGACTCCTGGAATTTGGGCTGTAACAAGGAGAATACGCCAGAGGTTTTTGTCAGTGTGACCAAGCTCAGACTTTGGATTGCCTGGAAACTGAATGTAAACAACGTACATTTTAAATACTATACTTTTCCTTAAATTGTGACACTTATCTGCAGACATTTATTTAATTATACACTTAACATATTGTTAATTGCAAATGCAAATTATGAAAATGGCTTTAATTTTAGTTTCAGAACTTTTTAAAACAAATCTGTCTCTGGCGTTGTAATTCTTAACTAAAATTTTTGATCTTTTATATACTTTGTATATTTTAAAGCTTTAAGCTTTAGCAATTATTATTGCTATTTTCCATTATTGGGGAATGATGCTGGTATCAACTTTTTTATTGCAAAGGTCTAAGGGTTTTAATATTTAATCAAATATTTAATAGGAATGTGGATGCTTGAAAACTATGGAGGCAAGATTGAAGTTATATTTCCGTTATGGGTATTTCAATAATATAAAAGCTAGTAGTTTTTTTTTTTTGTTATTTAAAACCATTATAGCTGCTTTTTCCAACTGGCCTTTAGTGAAATGGTACATTCTGTTTGATAGCTTTTCAAAGTTCTGGCCGATACTGAACAAATTCTACAAGTAATAGCAGATCAATATTTTGAAAATGATAATATTTCGTAAAGAATCACGCAAAAAGGGAGATCGTTAGCGAGAAGGAGGTTAAGGAAATCACATCTGATCGACATTGGTGAGAGATTTCTATAAATAGAGCTAGATAAAATAAAGTCAAGCCCCTAGATAAATTGTTAATATAAGTTTGTATAATATAAGTTTAATTTAAATTAAACAAAATAATAATAATAAATAATATTAAATCTTGTTTCTTAGTAAACCTTTGTAAGACCTTCATCGCTAGTCCAAAACCTGACAATAATCCCAAACTCGTACTTTATAACAAATCATTAGTAAACTTACCGATATTTTTGGCCTTGACATTAAATTATCCTTCAGCCAAACATATTTCCGTCGCAGAAGCAAAAAGAAGAAGAAAAGAAATGGCGAACCTCTTCCTGTTTGGAGTGAACTTGTTTCGTTAATAATTTTTTGTAAAATCAACCGATTTGGAAGAAGTTTTAAAGAAAACTATTTGTATATTTATTTTGGTCTACGTAGCTTGTAGGGTAGTATTGTCAAAAATCTGCAGCGAGCCAGGAGGGGGAAAAATCAAGAGAAATAAAATAAACTCGTGATGTCTGAACTTAAGCAGAGTTCACATACCAAGTTTGATAAATGTAGATGCAGCCCTTTAAAAAATCCAGGGGTTCATCCAGACAGACGTGGGCATGGCTAGAGCGATGCGGCTCGTCATGCTGATTATGAATATATATATACTTTGTAGGGTCGGAGAAGCTCGCTTCTACCGTTGCACAAGCCTTTTATACCCTTTTTACCAGGTACAGGGCATCACAAACCTAAACACATGCTACTCAGAAGTCTGCTTCCAATCAGAACATTATGCCATATAAGGCACAATCGAATAACAATAGCCAGAAAAAATCAAAACAATAGCAATGGCCCATACAAGCCGCGCAATTAAAATAGACAAACACGTTAAGTGAGCCATTAAAAATATCAAAGCGTACGACTTATAAAATGATTATTATATTCAAAAAATATATGGACAACGCATTTCAATAACTCTCGACCTGGTCAGTGCTCACTGAGTGCGCTTCGTGTGCGGTTTGTTCCGAAATTCTCTCTCAATGTTTAGAATTGAAAAAAATTAAACAAATGTTTTGTGTGGTTTCAATGTAAAATCAAATAGTTTTGTTGTCAAATAATTTCAAAAAAATTCATGTGTTACTAAATTTTATTTGGACCTTTCAAAATTCAATTCAAGTGTAACTGAAGCCCAGAAATCAATCACACACGCACACACACAACAATAAAAAAAATAATAATAAGTTCACAAAATATAAAGCGAATAGAAGTTACGGCCAAATAATAGTAGGATGCTTTTCCTGCGCTCTCGTGTAGAATACACAAAGGAGCAACTGTTCAAAATCGAGCAATTGCGTCAGCTGGTTCAGAGTAAGGATCTATATCTGAATTGCGTGTTCTGTAGTTCTATAGTTCCGAATTGGCCTTGAATTCCCCACAGAATCCAGTGAGCTAGACGTCGGCACCGATGACACATTCCTAACCAAATTTCTACACTACACGCATTGGGATTCGGTTAAAGCATATCAGGCTATACACGCCTACTATGATTTCAAGCACAAACATCCCACATGGATGGCCCAGCATCCCATTGAGTATTATCGGAAGCTATTCTATGCCACCCATTGTCGCTTTGTGATGCCACGTACGGATAAAAACGGACGCGTCCTCGTCATATTCAAGACCGTGGATGCCTTCCAACAATTTCCAGACTACTTGCAGGGATTAATCGAAATGGACGATCTAATATTTGAATCGCTCCTGATGTTACCGCGTGTCCAGCAAAATGGCATCACAGTCATTTGTGATCTACAAGGGTGAGTAAGAATACAAGGTTCGCGGACTCTATTAGGGGTTCCATATATTGGAAGGAAAATCAAATTTAGGTTGCACAACATTTCCAAATTAAGTTCTTTTGATGGACTGAGTAATGAATATTATATTATTAAACTGAGAATCAATTTTTTTAAATAAATAATGCTTGTATACTTTTCTTATCTTAATAAAATAAGATATAAGACTTAAAATGACTTAAATTTTTATTTAAATGTTTTTCTCCTTATTTTGTTCTACAATTTCCCCTAAAAGAGATCCAAAAAGTTGTATACAAAGGGTACTTCCTATGTAAGACTCATAAAATGATAGGCAACCTTTTCTGTAACGGTGAATTTTTATTTAATTATTTTACTCATTATTTTGTTTTACAATTTTCTCTAAAAAAATATATATTTATATATACAAAAGGTTGTATATAGTAAAGCGAACTTCCTATGTGAGGCTCTTAATCGGCAACCTTTTCTGTAACGGTGAATTTTTATTTACTCGTTTTATTTTACTCGTTATTTTGTTCTACAACTTTCTCTAGAAAAGATCCAAAAAGTTGTTTTCAAAGTGAACTTCCTATGTGAGGCTCTTAAAAGCTTCATCGGCAACATTTTTTTGTAACGGCGAATTTTCTATATATTTTTTAGCGGTCTTTCTATAAATTTTTTAGCTACATTTAAATGTTTTTTGCCATTAATCCTTGTTTTTAGTGGGGTTTCTACCTCATTTTTTATCAATTTTTTGTGAGTTTTCTATAATTTTTTAACAACCTTTTCAGCTTTTTTCTATTGGATTTTCTGCCCATTTTAAGCTGCGTTTTTAGTCATTTTGTAGCCAAGTTTTACTGTCTAGCGTATTCTACACATTTTAGCGGGTTTTCTACCAATTTTCTAGAGAGTTTTCTTCACATTTTAGCGGTTTTTCTACCAATTTTCTAGAGATTTTTCTACACATTTTTGGCTGGTTTTCTAGTTATTTATAGCGGGTTTTTCTAACAATTTTGATGCCGTACAATTTCGTAGCCATTCTTAGCGGTGTTTTTAGCCACTTTCCAGCTATTTAATCCGGGTTTTTAGGCCATTTTCTCGCCTTTTTTATAGCAATAAACATTTTCTAGCCATTTTTTAACAATAATTGCTGATTTATAATAAATGCTACCAACGCCAATAAAAAATTATATCTTCATTTAATTAAATCATTCCAATTTAACCATTAAGTTTGTTTTTTATTTCCACAGCACCACGCGCAATTTTTTGCGCCAATTCTCCCCCCAATTCATGAAGGTAGTGAACGACAAAAATGGGGTTCTGCCCTTCACACAGCGCATTGTGCATATAATACAACGTGGATTCCTAATGCATGTGACCTCGTCGCTGTTTTTGCCTTTCATGAACAAGGAATTCAAAGAACGCGTAAGCTATGGCTGTTCTGGCCATCAAAACATTATCTAGTTCATCTTTTTTTCGCTCTTTGTCCAGATTTTCACACACGATGGCAAACATTTGAGCAAACTACGCGAGATGGTTGGCTATGAGAGTTTGCCCGCCGAATATGGTGGGCCAGCAGATAATGTGCTGGATACAAATTTGATATTTAATCACTTGAGTCAAAGTGCTGATTATCTGGAAAAACTGCAACACTATAAGAAACGTATAGTATAAATATTGTTATAAAATAAACTAGTAAGCTCTCCACTCCAATAAAACAAATATTTTAATTTTAAAATGGTCCAAAATTTCCGGTACTATATGTATTGTAGGGCAAAACAAATTACGAAAAGTTATTGCTGCTTAAATAAACATCAAAGAGTTGTGAGTTCGTGTAAATTAAATTAATTATGCATTTTCGCAAATTTAATTCTGTCTTGTTTTCAACGGTTTCTTATTGTAACGAGTTGGCAGCAACGCTTCCGCACTTGCAATTGCTCGCTGCTATGTGCACTCAAGACAGCAAAATAATCGATATCATTGTTATCGCGCATGCGCACTTATTTTAAAAACAAGCGGCAAGATTCTACAAATTTAATGAAGCACAAAAATGATAATGGTTTTATAATAATTAATTATTACTAGTAATTGAAGTCAAAAATAAACTGATCAACAAAGAACATAAAAAAAAAACAGAATAAGAAACATTTTTCTTTTAAATAAATGATTGGTAAAGGATTGAATAGAGAGATCATTGATTGTTAATGCTGATGAAGTCACATCCTATTAGTTACTTTAATATTAGGTATTAAAAGGACTAGTCGGAAAGCTATTAAAAAGCCCACTTGTTCCAGAGATATAAGGATCTCTTCTTAAATAAACGCAAATAAATTTGTTAAATAAAAACGTAACGTTCCACACATCTAATAAAAATCTATCACTATACATTTAATACGATTTAAGTATGATTCTAAATTAATGCTTAGAAATAACACAATAATAAAGTATTTCAAAACTTTGTTATAATGGAAACCTAGAAACAATTTATACTGTACAAATTTTCAATAGAAAAGATTATTTACAAATTTTCTAAGTAATAATGCGATTTTGTATTCATGCGAATTAGTCCTATCTTTATAAAAACCTGATCGATTTCCACTTAATATTGAAATGCACGATAAATGCTTAGATATATGCAGATGTCCTAACAAGTTATTCCACTTTAAAGCTTCAAAACTATGAAACGTAAAAACATTGTTCTAGAATTGGTTTGCACCGACTTATATATAAAGACTTCTAAAAATCAAGAGGAACTTGCTCAATGTTTTAAGCTACCTAACAAAAAGGAACAGCAGAAATTAGAATCCTTCTCTGAACCAGCAACATCATTATAAAAAGCTATATTAGAGCAGAGAAAATAGAAAAATTGTTTAAAAGCATATAACACTTCCTTTTCTTTTGTTAATTAATATGTTCGACTAGTTCCGAACTTGCTAATAACCGTTCAGATGCCTTACTTACTTACTTTTTAAACAATTGTCCATAATAAATAACATTATTCCAGCAGAAAATTGTAGCTTTCAATTCGATTTGCAATACCAGGAAAGCAGTCAGCGAATTGTTTACTTTTCTAGCTTCTAAGAATATTTGTCAAATCGCACTAACTGGACATTTTTTATAGAAAATCCGGTCCTTAAACAAATTAAAGTACTTCAGCAAAGAAATTCGCAGTATTCGACAATTTTTAAGTTAGTTGGCATGATTTAATAAAACTCGATTTTCGAATTTCAAATACATTTTCGTGCATTACACGTAGAGCGGGGAATGAATAAATGAACAATAGGAATGTTAATTTGCTTGATAAATTATTATGCATAAATCAATTTGTAAAATTTTAATAAAAACCGAGCAAATAACAAGAGATAGTGGGGGAGAGAGAGAAAGAAGCTTAAGGAACATTTTTTTAGGTTTAACAATTTCATTTTCATTTTGTTTGTTAAGCTACTAAAAAATACACGCAGGTAGTTTTTTAGGGAAAGTAAAGTAAACGTTTCTTTGCATTTACAAAAGTGCAATAAGCTATGCACACGTAGTAGTAGTATAAACTCTTCTGTGCGTGTGTGAATGACACTTAAACAATAATTACACTTGAATTTTTTAACACGATTATTGTAAGACTTCGAAGCAAATAGTAGTTGCATGTTTTGTGGTGGATGGCCAGGCTACAATCGTGCAATCGTCCAATCTGCTGACCATCAAGCCAAATGTACAATACAATAAATAAACTTTGAATAAACTTTAGTCAATGTTTAGCGAAGACATCAACTCCTCGACCCTGCAGAAAAACAAAAAACAAAAGAGAATAAGATATAGAAGTTAACATTGCTTTGTTTAGACTTGCACGCACGTTATATCTAGATCTTTAAAGACCACGCCCAGCCAGGCAACAACCAGGCAATAGTGCTGAAATAGTTGCAGAAGCAATTCGCCTTCGTCTAGCATCTCGAGGCGCTCGATGCGTTGGCGCTCCGCCGTCGACAGACTCTCATAGACCTGCACCATATCCCAGGCACGTGCGCCGCTCCAGCCGCAGTCTATAAAGCGATTGGTTTGCGTTTCCAACGACAGGCAGGATTCGACGCCGGCCAGGCTGCAGCCACGACTGCGCAAATTATTGAGCATCACCTCGCCAAAGCGATCGTTCATGTTCACCTGTAAAAAAAGTGAATATATAGTACAAATGAACATTTAAAAGCTGCACAATAAATTATATTTCAGAGATTATAAACGACCCGTACCTGCTCGTAGTTGACGAAGACGGCAGACTGAAATTTCTGTGCTATCCACTTGAGCAGATTACGACAGTTCTGGGCCTCAATGTACACGAGCACGCACTCGGCCAAAAATATAGTGGGCAGTGTGTAATCGATCTCGGCTTGCTGCAACTTATTGTCCACCTCGTCCAAATTACGCAAATCGACGCCCATCAAATGATAGCTGGGTCCATGCAAATCCGTGGGACTCAGACGCACCTCACCATCCTCATCATGAATTTTGGCCAATAGCGCCTTATTACGCTTGATTGTATAACACTTGCGGGCCGTCACGGTTGGAAAGTCCAGCTCAATGAAGTTCTTAACCTCGTGCGAGGTGTCGCGCAATCTAAAGTACAGCGTATCGAAGCCACAGCCCAGATTTATGATCTGACAATTGCCGGATGTTTTCTGCAATGGGAATGGAAAGTATTGGAAAAATTAGTGCTTTTTGGAGATGATTTGGTCATGCGCAGCTGCTGGAAGAACAGAAGCGGACGACTGTGCAACAGGATTTCAATGCCAACAATTGGTACTTGACCTTAAACATGCGTTGGCCAGAACCATGTACACGCGCAGACAAACGCACACACAGACACAAGCACATGGGCACGGCCTTGCGCATGTCTCCATATACATACATGTATATATCTTTTTTTATATATGTATGTATATAGAGCAGGGTGTCTGCTGTTAATCTATATTCATGCTTTTTCTAGCCTATGCTTAAACGGTTGGTTTAGAGGCTTGGTTTTAAGTATAGTTTTCATCCTACCCCTATGCTAGGGAGTTTTTTAAATATATTTTAGAAATAATAAGATCTGCATTAAGATTTATCTGTTTAAACAATATAAGGCTAAAAAGCATATAAATATATTTAAATAATAAATAAATATATAAATATGTAAATATATATTTATGCTTTTCCATGTCCAATTAGTTGGTCCTAAGCAGCGAAAATTCCTGAAAGTTTACTTAAATGTCTATGCTAAGGAGTCCTTAATATCTACTTCAGAAATAATAAAGTCTGCTTTAAGATTTCTCTCCACCCTTTTTAAACATTGTAAGGCTGATTAATAGCTCTAAGCTTTTTTAGTCTGCTATAAATATATATTTATGCTTCTCCTATTCTATGTTCAATTAGTTGATCTTAAGCAGCGAAAGTTCCTGAAAGTTTACTTAAATGTCTATGCTATGGAGTCCTTAATATCTACTTCAGAAATAATAAAGTCTGCTTTAAGATTTCTCTCCACCCTGTTTAAACATTGTAAGGCTAAGCTTTTACTAAAAACAAAACCTGAAGGCAGTTCAATTGCTCAAAAAGTAGACACCCTGGCTCTATCAGCAGACACCCTGTATTGTGTTGCAGCCAGCAGCGTTGCAACCTTCGGCTGCAATTGCACCACCCCCCTGCCTCCATGCCACTCCACCCACACCACCACTGACCTTCAGGAACTTCTCCACACACATTTCAACGCCCTTGACGCGCGCAAAGTAGCCACGATTTATCTCCGGCGCCTTGCGCTCCTGATTGCGCACAAAGTAGCCAATGTAGTCGTCCTTCCAGTATCCGAGGCGGACGGCACAGCGCTTGCAGTCGCTGGCATCGTCATTGGTGGCTATTACCGCCTCATCGCACGGATGGAATTTGTGTTGTGTTGCATTGTTGCCCGCCTCATTTAGTTGAGTTGTGTTCATATTCACGCAAGGCGGCGGCGGCTCCATAGGAATATGGCACGGCACCGTTACTCTTGAATAATTCGCGATAACGCGACCTCGCAATGGGCGTGATTTTATTTGTGTTTCTGCTGCTTTCCGACTCTTTCCGTTGTGTGGTTAGTCAGTGGTGCGCTGCACAATTTTCCCAAAAAATTTTCTCGCAATCACAGATGCTATTGTTGTTGTTGTTGTTGCTGCTGTTGTCAAAAAAATTGGCGCTGCCACTGCGTCGAAATAAACAAATCTAATGCCCAACAGGTTTCGATGCTGCCGCTGTTATCGATATGTGTGTTTATCAATAAAGCGATAAGCTACTCGTAAGGCGGTTGAATTCAAATTATTAATTCAAATGCGTAAGATATTTGGTTTGAATTATTTAAACTTATTATTGCAATGAGCAAACAAATTAGTATACTCATGTGTTGGAAGCAGTTTAATAAAGCCACTATATTATAAAACGAGTAGCTGCCAATAAAACAATACGCCTAATTGGTGAAAAAGCTGCAAAAAATTTTTAATTTATTGAACAATGGCAAAGTATATTTTTAATGGAGTTGCCCCGCAGCACGAATTTGTTTCAGATTGGAAATAAAATATGAAATAACTTAGCTCAAAACACGATTTAAAACATCATCTTAGATATTTTTATTATACTGATATTATTTATGTTATTACTTATAGATCATTAATAATTTTTTTTTAATTCAAAGCTTTTTAAATAGCAAAATTATATATACTTTTTAATTTATTGAACAAAGGTAAAGTCAATTTTCAATGGAACTGCCCCATATTTGTTTTAGATTGCAACTAAAAAACCAAAAAAAACTAAGCAAACAACAAAATTTGAAAGATTTTAAAACAAACTAACAAAAATACCATAAACTTATATATTTTTGTAATACTGCCAACATTGAAATAATAAATATAGGGCCTATTTTTAAATATTAAAATTGTCTACTGTAGTTTTCAAATAAGTACATCCAAAGAGACCTCAAACTTATATATTTTTCTAATACTGCTATTATTGAAATGCTTATAAATCATTTATAAGGCCTATTTTTAAATATTAAAATTGTCTACTGCAGTTTTCAAAAATATTCAGTGTGTTTTATATTTTTTGTAATATCATATTTGAGCAGAAAAATTGTATAAAATGCAACAACAAAATGGGCAGAAGAGTAAGAAAATAAATCAGTAGTAAACCAATGATAATTATAAAAGAATTGTCGGAATTATAGAAGAAGAAAAGTGTGCGGATTTTCACGTTTTTAAAACAATACCACAATTGCCGAAACCGAATAAGGGTTTCTTTGATTTTTAGATTTTGCTTATCAAATTGTAAAATAGAATCTAAAAAATACATATACGTGTATAGTTTGTAGTCCAATTTTTATTTTATTTTATTTTTTAGACGTTTTCATATCCCTACCTAACTGTTTCAAGATCGGAAACGAACATATTTAGTTTTTAGTCCATTCATTACCTGTACAGCCATAAAGTATTACTGTTTCCAGATCTACAAACAGCTCAGGTCCAACACTTTCGAGCTTCCCAGATAATAATACAATTGAAGGCAACACTTGATTAAAGAAGGGTCAATTTTACAACGCGTGCCCACAATCAAGTCCAACTGAACTCCATGGCGAGGCAGCCGACTAATTGTTTCCCCTTTCCCGCATCTTTGACATTGCGTCGGAAGCGACGGCGCGATTATAATTAAAATTAGCAGCTACGCCCAAACGACCGGTCCAGTTCTTCTTCTTGAAGCTGTTGTTGTCTTCCAACTCAATAAATGGGGGTCAATGCGTGAACTGGCTTTAATTGTTTACTGGCGAGTGACCTGCAAGCTCGGTCCGCACTGTTCCAAAATTTGCTTAACAAATGCATGAATCACAATGCAAAGTCGACCGATATATGCTCGTAGCTTTGTGGAAAATTATAGAAATTGATTGGAAATTATGCAAAAGACTTGCTGGGCTGGCTTGTCGTGCAAAAATCCCATTGTGACGCTAATTCTTTCTATTACTATTATTCATCATTAGTGCTACGGACGCACTCGTTACTCAAGTCGGAAGCTCAAAAGATGGGCCTTAATTAGGCAGCAAGTGAAATTAATTAGAGATGTTGTGAACTCAGTTGTTTAACTGCTATTATTGCTGAAGGTGTCAAGGGTGTAAAATGCAACTGTACGATCATCATTATATGCTTCGAAACATTTATACACTCGTCAATATTGAATACTGACCTATAGCTTTATGTAAGAATATGCCAACATTTAGAACTCAATGTTTATTATTAGATATCTCTATTTAATTATTACTTTCATAACTTAACGATTTCTTAACTTGCGCGAACCTAAAAGGTAGTAGAAAGATGCACGACTCTATTAAGTACTCGTATTTATAGGTATGCTAAATAAAATATAAATATGTCCGTCTGTATGAACGCCTGGGTTCCGAAAACAACTGAGCCCACATTGATCAAACTTTATATTTAGACTCTCCTATAAGCTATGCAATACGAGTTTATTTTATTTTTGTGATTTTACCAATTTTTGAATCATTTGCTTAACCAAAGCTAATTTTATAATTCTATTTTATTTAATCCAAATCGCTCAGTTTGAAGCAAAATTATGGACGAAACAATTTTATTCCAGTAACACATACTTAAAAAGAGACTCTACAAAATATATCCAATTGAGCTCTATACGTCTGTCCGTCTATATGACAGGATATATGATAGGATCTCGGGTAATATAAGAGCTATCTACGCATTCGTTGATTCAATAAAAAACACTTTGTTTGTGATTAGTGTTTAATTTTGAAAAAGTCTTTGAAGTTGTGTCTAGAATTTACGAGCCACTCGATTTGGCAACGTCAACAGCCATCCGACTGGAGATATTCCTACAGAAGAAGCGCAGCTGGAACGACAGCATACTTTAATCCTTCCTTAAAGCAACACGATATAAGCAAACACGATTAGCTTTGTATCAATGAGAGAGCACAGAAATCAAATGTAATCCACAGTGGGAGGGACAGAGCATGCGAATCTATCGCTGGCTCACTCACTCTAACGTTTCTTACGCGCAGCATATTATGACGTATCAGCGCAGTGAGCTTAAACAGGTTGCAGCCCTTAATGCTTGTTTCTACCACGACTTGCACCCACACTCACTTGCAACAAGTTGTATCATGTGTGTGGATCAGAGCTGCCAGCATTGCTTTTTTTCCCGTCAAATGTGGCGTTTTTCAGAATTTGTGAACGGAACTCCAGAGGTAATATTTGAAGTTAAGCTGGATTGTAAGCATTAAGGCATTAACATTAGAGTCTTAGACGAACGAGCTTTGTGCTTTTTATTGTTGATAGTTAAGATATATGTATATTTATGTTTTAAGAAAATGTAACAGATTTGTTTAGCTTATCTATAGTATTTGTTTTTAATGGCATAAATGGAAGAGGAGCATACATATATCAGAAACATTCTGTGATAATCTCTCTTTTTTATAAAACTTTTCCTCTATAGTTTTTTACGGGGAAATCTCTGACCTCTTACAGCTGTGAGTCGGGGCATAGCTTGTCGGCTATTAAATTTTACCCTATCGGGCTCGAGATTTCCCTTTCTCTGAAGTAATCTAATTAGCTGTTAATTAGAATTAAGTTTTCTCCTTTTCTTGCCATTATTTTTCATTTATACAGTTATTTTAAAGGCTTTCTTATCCTTTAAGTGAAAATTATAACGTTTTTTAATGAATAAAAATTATTTAAATCTGTATTGACAGCCCATATTTTTGATGTAATAATAATAATAGAACTAAATAAAAATAATATACATAATAACTTACCGAGACCGTCCTGATCAGACTTATAGGTGGTGTGTCATCCATAGGAATATTATGATTGAAAAATATGTACATATTTCTTCCTACCAGGCCTGACCATTGTTCGTAGAAGCTTCATTTATGCCTTGAATAAGAGGTTTCCATACTTATGTGTTTATTTTTAAAGTTGCCTAACGAATTTAAATATATTCTGAACTTAGGCGACTTAGGAGTGATTCCAAAATATTGTAAAAATCAAAGAACAAGATAGACGTAAAGTTACAGCTCGAAAAAGTTAACCATAATGTACCAAGTGTAATTAACTCTTTCGAAATATTAACTTTTCTTATTTATAATTTAACAATTTAAACAAATCTTTAAAACTAAACATATATTTTTGAAAAATAATGCGATCAATTTATTAAACTGACTTTTCATCAGTTTGTTCTAGCTTTTTTTTAAAGGTTAATTCAATTGCTGATCTGGCTTTTTGTTGCGGCTCGCGTTGCTTGCAGCTCGAACATGTTGCAACTGTGAATGTGTTCGCTGGAATTGGCCGTACAACCTGTTGTTGGCCGTGCGCGTTTGTTGCGTTCAGTTTGGTCGTAAGCTTCGCAAGAGACGGTTGTGCGGCAATTGATTCGGGACTGCAAGCCGGCGGCAAAAGGTGTGCGCTTGTGTTTAGATCACAGAAATATTCACTCAGAGGTGTGTGTGTGTGTGTGAGTCAAGCAACAAAACATTGGTAGTAGCGTTAACGTCAGAAGAGTGTCTCTGTCTGTGTGTTGGTTGGTTGGTGAGCGCGATTGTGTTAATGTGTGCGTGTTAACAAAGCCAAGAACGTGCAAGTGTAAGTGTCATGACTGTGCGTGCGGTGCTAGTGTAACGTCGTTGTTGTTGTTTTAGTTGCTGCTGCTGGTTCTCGGTAGGTTTTGACGTGTTTTGCTACCTGGGCTCAAAAATGGTCATTTTTGTTTGCGTTCGTTGCGTTTTTTGTTACTCTTTTTTTTCGGGGCGTTGGCGCGTTCACGTCTTCAAGAAAGTTATGCTTCGATTTTATAGTGCGATTATTTTATTTCATTTATTTAGAATATCAACAATAATTCTGTCGATTATAAAATTATAAAATATTTCATACGCTATTTGCAATGATTAATCATTCGTTTGTTCACATACTTGCATGAGAAGCCCTTAGATAGATTAGATAGGCAGTGGGAGCGAGAAGGCCAAATGGTTAAAGGCAAATAAAAAAAACAGCAACAAGTGATGGCGACGTCATCAATTGGAGCATAACTGTAAAAACAAGTGAGATTAAGCCACAAAAACAAAACGCTAAACGTTAAATGGTGCGCCCATGCGCTTCTCAGTGGGCCAACAATCACACACACACACACATGCAAGTATATACATATGAGTGCATGTGTGTGTGTGTGTGTGTGTGTGTGTGAGACACCTGCTAGTCGCTGCGCTTCACTTTCAACGTTATCGTTGCGTTTTATTGTTTGCTTTTTGTGATTGCGAAAATAACAAAAAACGAAATAAAAGGCAAAAACAACAAACAACAAGTGAATCATCAACGAGCTGACAAAAAAGCAACAAAACAACAACAACAGTAGCAGCAATGGCAACAGAAATCTAAACAAATTTTTTGTGTGCTCTCGTAATTTGATATGAAAATTCCCGCAAGTTTACCGTTACCGCTCAAATTGCCCAATTTCCTTGCACTTGTGTGTGTGTTCTGAACTTTTTGTGTGTGTGCTCCGAACTCTCTTTGTGTGTGTGTGTGTGTGTGTTTGTGCAATTCTTTCTTTGCACTTCCGAAACAGCCAACACATGCAGAAATTGCTGTTGGGGTGCAACGGCTTATTGGGGTTAAGAGCGTTACTTGAGCGGCCAACATTGTCGGGTTAATGCACTTTCTGCATGTGGCAACACTGTGCGATGTCTCCACGTTGTTGTAATCCTTGTGCCACTTTTCACGACGTTCATGTGCTTGTTGTTTTTGCTTTGCTATTACAAATTGCCGCTTTGTAATCAAATGCCAAATGCAAAGCTCACATTCAAACTATCAAGACGTTGGCAGGTGGTTTATTATTGTAGTTGTTGTTGCTTTGGTTGTTGTTGCTTCGTAAACGCATTCCCACACTTTCAATTAAAATAGGGGGTGCTTTAGTTTTATTTTCGACCTGCATACTTACTTCACCGCAATTCATTTCGATCCCACATGCTCGTAAATATGTATATACATACATATATATGTATGTATGTATATGTACGTACCGCCCATATATGTATTTACCGCCCAGGAAGCATGCTTCAATAAATTCTGAATTTCACAAAACCAAACACCCTAGGGATAGCTTCTATATTCCATTCTAGATTCCATAATATCGAAATTTACAGCTGGGTTCAATTCCAAAAAATGAACTGAACTGTTCAGTTTAGAAAGTTTTACCTTACAGCTGCTGGAAATGAAATTATTTAGCAACTTTAGCGTTCATAAAAAAATTACAAAATATATTTTTTTATATATTTAACAGAAATTTGCAAATTATCTTAAAAGATTTATATCCTAAAACAAAACTTAAGAATGTTAATCTATAAACTGCAACCTAATCCATAAATTGAAGGTAACTAGCAACTATCGCGTTCACAAAAATGTATTAAAAATTTACAAACATTATATATGTATATTTTATTAAATTTTCGAAAAAATTGAAATAGATAAAACCTTTAAAATGCACGATAATCCAAATCTGAAAGTATTTGTCAACTTTCACAAAAAATAAATTTTTATAATGATAATCCATAAATAGGAAAATAATCAAATTAATGGATAATCATAGATTTCATAAATGTACTTACAAAATATACATTCATATTTAATTTATATTTGCAAAATATTGAATTGGTTTTATATCCAAAAAACTTGCTACTAATGATATTGAGCACCAAATTATAAATTACAATTAAATATAGCCAAGCTTTAATGAAATCTTCTTTAGCTATTTCAAATTTTTCTTTTATTGCATTTGCCAACCATTACTAGTCTATTAGGATACGGAAAAATCTTAAACTAAATATTCGGAAATAGTTACCGTTCTGATTATTATTTCACTTCTGTTAAAGATCTATAATTTCGATGATTTATTTTCTTACACTCCCCACTTTACATTATTCATTCCTCCCACTTCATATTAATCATTCGTCGGGTTCCTTTACATATTCCAACATTAATCAGACATTTCTGTTAATGCAAATATTTATTTATTTATGTTTTTAACAAATAATTAATCGTTTTTATTATATTATTTATATATTATATATATATTTATATTTTTTATTAGTTAATACAGTATTTTAGCTGTATTTCGAACTATCAGTTCAATAGTACAATTATTATATATAAATTTAATATCTAATAAATATCTTTATCTTTGATAAGAAATTCAATCAAAAACAAACGGTACGAGCGCCATTTCCGATATCAAGTTCTATGTCTTAGCAACTAAATATCTTGAAGCATTTCGCTGTCAAAACAGATTTAATTCAAATAAGACATTAAGACATATTTCCTGTTAATGTTTTGAATTCCCATCCATATATAATCGATAAGTCAACGCGCTTTACAAGTCAAGGATTCCTTTTTCTTTTCTGTTAGTTTTTGCTTCTTTTAGTTGAAAAACTTAATGGTAATTTCGCTGATTGTATTTCATGGATCAGATACATATCTATCAAAAAATCAAACTTAAAACTTGAATTCTTTATTTTAATTTCTGACTGCATGTCATTAATGCACCCCTGTCTGCATTTTCTATTGCAACTGAAGAATTTCATTACATTTCTTTATAAACTACCAATTTAATAGATGAACTTTTGCGCTCCCACCACAATTAATCCATTAGCGGTGCCACCCAGACAATGCACGTAATAACCAGAAATCTCGCATGCTCGTGCGCATGCGCAGAGTTGACTTCATTTTTTGTTACATGCTCGTACATATCACTGCTGTAACTTTATTTTTAGCGCATTTTTCTAAGCTGCGTCGTGAAGTCGTTGTTGTAGTCGACTCTAAACGGGTTCCTCACTCCTAGCGAAGGCCGCCGGCACCGCTACCAAGCCCCAGAGCTCTGGCTATACGTATTTGAAAAAAAGAAAAACAAAAGCAAACAAATATCTGAGCAAACGTAATGAACAAGAAACCAGTTTCGTCACTCTTACTCAGAGATTTGTTATTATTTTTACGGGATTGCGGCGGGCGTGTTGTGTCATTTTTGAAACATTTTATTACAGAGTTGTAAAAGCTGTTAAAGAGTGTTGGTTAGCTTATGTTTTAGTTTATTTGTTTAAGGATTTGTTAATCATATTGCGGGATTACTTATAGGCTATAGGCTTGTTTTGTCATATTTGAAACATTCTATAAAAAGCTTCTGAACAGTGTTGGTGAGCTTATGTTTTAATTTATTTTTTGAACGATTTTTGAAAACATCTAATGCAGAGTTGTAAAAGCTTCTAAAGAGTGTTGGTCAGCTTTGTTTGAAATAATTTTTAAAAAGGATTTGTTAATATTGTTGCGGGATTATGGCAAGAGTGTTGTGTCCTTTTTGAAACATTCTACATTCTATATTGTAAAACTTTCTGAACAGTGTTGGTTACCTTATGTCTTAATTTATTTTATTAAGAATTTTTTATTTTTTATTTATTTTTGTCATTTTTGAAACATTCTAACACAGAATTGTAAAATCTTACGTACAGTGTTGGTTAGCTTCTGTTTTAATTAATTTATTATTATTTTATCAAAAAGTTCTAACACTAAGTTACTAATTATTATTACTTTGAACTTGCCTGTTGAAAATATGTTTTTGCTAATCAGTTTATTATTAATTTTCACATTTTTTCAGTTGAAACATGGCGCACAAATTCAAATATCGCGACAAACTTGATTATGTGTTGGCAATACTTATATTGTCTTGGATCTCTGGTGAATTTGTAGCCGCGCAGACAAGAGATCCACGTTTCTACTCCAGACCCGGTGTCAACGACTATAATTGGCCCAATCCCGGCGATCCAGATTACAGGTGAGCTGGGAAAAGTGTTTTTTTGAGAAACCATATAACTATTTTAATGTCTATTGTCCAATTAGAACTTACACCTTCAACGATCGTCGCTATGGTCATTATCAGCCGAATGGCTATGGTGCAAATTATCCGGGCAGAAATCCGCCGGGACAATATCCGCAGGGCATGCCCAATGAGGATCGTTTCCGCTTTGATCCGGTAAGCACGCACATATATATTTCTTGATATTCCCTAGCTGAGCTGTGTGAGATAATAAGAGAAGTGCTGGTTATGCAAATTTTGTAGGTAGGTTTTTCGAAGTAATGCCAATTTTGGGAATAAAAAGAAATGTTCCTGATATTGTTCCTCTAATTCAAAGTCCGTTCTATTCTTATCCAAAGTTGAAAGAAATTAGAGACCTTCCTACAAACCTAACTAACGATCACTAGTTTATTTATTTAGAAAATACTTCTTTTAATTTCTTAGAATTGTTCTTTTTAAGCAGAATGCACTGCTGACTTAAGAAATAAATAAATACCTCTTAATAGAATTGTAGGCTCTTAGGTTTATTGTAGACTGAAACCTAGATTTGTTTCAATGCCTTGGTTTATTTTATTATTATTATTATTTTTTTGTATATTTATTTTGAGTTGATTTCTTTATAGTCTGAAAAATTGACTTCGAATTTCAGATTATTAGTTTTTAATATAAATAACTAGAAAAGGGCCAACTACTAGTTCACTCAAACACTCTCTAGAAAGCAAACTCTGTTCAAAAATATTCGAAAGTCATATCTAAAATATTCCAAGCTCTAAAAATGAATGCTGCCAAGACTCAGAATTAAACAGACGAGACTAACAAATAAACACCAGATCTTTTGTGACAACTCAAGTCTGCTCAAGTCTTTCCAACCACAGACCCAATTTTCCAGCCTACTCACCTGTCAAATCCCCTACTGTATTCAACACACTTAGAATTTATTTTATGGTTCCTAAATATACAAATTCTATTATAGGTAAGAGTCTGGCATTTAAAGAGATCTCCCATTTTTTTTTTTTTTAATTATATATAGAAGTACCTACAAATATGGTATTATGTACTTATTAATAAAGTATCACCTACACCTACTGCTCAATTGTTGTTGCGCGCTTAATCAATTAAATTTGTGACACAAAAATTGACCCCAAATGCCAAAAACGAACAGCTCCTCCCATGGGGGAACAATGACAAACCATTCAGCAAATAGAACATTTGAGATCTCTCGAACAGCCATACATACATACAAACATTTATGAGTCCATATCTATGTAATATCAAAGCAATAATCTTAATTAAGTTTTCATGCGTTCGCGCATGCAATATGTCTGTGACCTAATCAATTGCACATGTGTTTACTGTAAGACAACAACAACAACAACAACAATATTAATGCTTGTATCAATAATATCTACTATTGCCAGAACGATCCCAATGCTCGTACACCCTTTCCGGGCATCTTGGCGGGTTGGCGCGAAGATCTGCAGGGGAAGCAGCGACGCGATTCCCTCACACTGGATCGTGATGTGTTCGTGACAACCAATTATGGCCAGGTGCAGGGCTTTAAGGTCTATATGTACGACAATCCCGATCCGAAGAGCTTCTACAGACCCTACCATTCGACGGTGGATCGTGTGATGGGCGAATGTTCGGTATTTTTGGGCATCCCCTATGCCCTGCCGCCCACCTTCGAGGGTCGCTTCAAGCCCCCTCGCCTGCATCGTGGCTGGCAGCTTCTACAAGCGGTGGACTTTGGACCCGCCTGTCCCCAGCCAGTGCGTTTTACGGGAGCTACTAAGGGCATTATGGACATGGATGAGGACTGCTTGTACTTGAATGTGTATTCGCCGAAGGTGAGTAAAAGATTTTGATTTCAATTAAATAATAGAACTGGAAACAATTTTAAGAAATCTTTAAAGCAAAAATTAACTCTACTATAAATAATAGATAGATAGTAGATATATATATAATTCCGAATAATCTGTATTTTTCTGGATTAAAAAGTCAGACTCGAAATATATTTCTGGATCGGAAAAAGTCTTACGCCCTACCCACAGCTTTTTATTAAAATTTTCCCCAAAAGAAGCAGCACAAAATATTGGGAAGTATTTCTTCTACTTAATACTATTCTAGGGTATACTAGAAAGCCTAAAATAAATATATATACCTTACCTTATGCATATATACCTTATCTATCTCTTTTCTCTACTTACTATAGAAAACATTATTCCAACATTATTCCAAGGAAATATGAAAATATTTTTGTTACGAATCCATAATCAGCATCTACATTAGTTTTATTTGATAATCAATTGTGATCTTCATGATACCAATATTGGGGATCTCTCTTCTTACTCATGATAAAAATATCTTAAGCATATCTTAAACGGATTTTATAACTATAAATAGTGGATTATCAACATATATTCAGCGGGTTTTCTTTCAACTTTTAGTGGATTTTCTAGCTATTTACTAGCAGTTCTTCTAACCATTAGCGGGTTTTATATCCATTTTCTAGCATATATAAGGGTTTTGTATCCATTTTCTAACAAATTCTTACAATTTTAACTGGTTTTCTAACCATTTATAGTAAGTTTTCTAGCCTTTTTCAGTGGACTTTCTTGCTATTTATAGTGGATGTTCTAACGAGGTTTCTAGTTTATTTTTAAATGATTTTCTAGCCTTATTATACTTATAGTTGTGTTTTTAACCATTTTCTGGAATAATAAAATAGTTTCGGTGCCGAATCATGATAGGCGTTCAAGATTAATAACTTTGATAACGTTATATTATTCTAAATATATATCTTTATTGTAATATAATATATATTTCAATATGATATGAAATATCTTTATTATAATGAATAAAATATAAAACATCTTATAGAGTAATTTTTTTATTTATTAAAATAAAATAATATAAAAAAGCAAATAAAAAAGGTAGTTCTTCAAATAAAATTATTATTATAAAATAAAATATTTTTTTTAATAAGACAGCGTTATAATTTTAGAAACCCTAGATAAAGCTATACAGTAACGTGTCCATTTATTGATCAATTAAAATGGAACGAATTATCGATTTACTAATCGATTAGTTTGTTGCTTATGAATAGCCCTTAAGCAGACATATTAAAGTGTTAAATTCTTAGACTATAAATATGTTGCTTTTCTTTCACAGACTGGCGCTGGTGTTGCTCAAAAATATCCAGTCATGGTCTACATACACGGCGGAGAGTTCATTCGTGGCGCCTCGAACCTGTTCCAGGGACACATCTTGGCCTCCTTCTACGACGTGGTTGTTGTCACACTCAACTATAGACTGGGCGCTTTGGGTTTTCTCTCCACCAGCGATGAAAATTCTCCCGGCAACTATGGCATACTGGATCAGGCTATGGCTTTGAAGTGGGTGCACGACAACATAGAGTTCTTCAATGGAGATCGTGATTCCATTACCCTTTTCGGACCGGGTGCTGGAGGCGCCTCAGCAGGTCTGCTGATGGTGGCGCCCCAGACGCGTAACATTGTGAAGCGCGTGATTGCACAATCGGGCTCGGCACTGGCCGATTGGGCTCTGATACAGGACAAGTATCGGGCGCAGAATACCAGTCGAGTGCTGGGCCAACTGCTCGGCTGCTCCATAGAGTCTTCGTGGAAGCTGGTGAATTGTTTGCGCACGGGTCGCAGCTTCTACGAGCTGGGCAATGCCGAGTTCCCACCCCAAGTGGGCACCTTTCCCTGGGGTCCGGTATTGGATCATAACTTTACGCTGCCCGGCGACGATTGGTACGAGGGCTGGCGGGCCAAAGACTGGCGTTTCCTCACACAAACCCCCGAAACTCTGATACGCGCTGGCAAATTCAATCGCAATATACAATACATGACTGGAGTTACGACTCAGGAGGCGGCATTTTTTGTCTCCCAGAACGAATCGCTGGCACCCTACTACGAACTAGATTCACGTTTCTTCGAGCAGAAGGTGCGGGAGCACGTTTTCCGCTACAATTACACGCTCAATCCGAATGGCGTGTACGAGGCCATCAAATATATGTACACCTTTTGGCCAGATCCGAACAATAACACCATCATTCGGGACCAGTACATCAATCTGTTAAGCGATCTGTATTATCGAGCGCCTGTGGATCAGATGGTCAAGTTATTGTTGGAGCAAAAGGTTCCCGTATATATGTACGTACTCAACACAACCGTGGAGGCTTTGAATTTGCCCCAATGGCGTAAATATCCCCACGATACGGAGCATTACTTTTTGACTGGAGCCCCGTTCATGGACACGGAATTCTTTCCAAAGAAGGAGCATTTGCAGCGCAACATGTGGACGGATAATGATCGCAATATGAGTCATTTCTTCATGCAAACGTACTCTAATTTTGCGCGATATGGGTAAGTTATTGGTTATCAGTTATATCGTATCTTTGTGTACTCTATAAACGAACAAACGATTCGTCATATCCGCCCGTCTGTTTTTCTTTGAACCTAAACTGCTGGTCGCTTACCATGCTTGTCCTTTCAATATGGAGATCAAGTTGATTTTATATTATTAATTAATCGTTATAGATGCCATAGAACCAAACCTGTAGGCGAAAAAGGGTATACTGAATAACTTAAATGCGAGACCAACCCTTAGTCTTAGAAACATAATGATTGGCATTACCAGACGAATTGACGTTGACATTTCCCGCTGTATAAAAACAGAGTACACTAAGACCTAGGGATACCAAACTTGTGGGTGTAGACTAATCTTATCTAAGCGCAGAGCAAGTTTTTTACAAACCATTTATATTGAGTCGAACGAATGGTCCGTACTTGACTAATCCAAGAACTTTATATGCGACACTTTATAGTCTCGGTATATTATATAGCTGCCATTGGACCAGTCTTAGATTAAAATTTCTGTCCACGATGATTTCTTATCATCGAAAGATTCATTCTAATACCTAGCTTAATAAACAAACAAAACAAAATTGTTTATTTAATTTAATATCGCAAGCAAGCTTGATACTTATAAGTGTTTTATAAATCCTAACAGTTATCTGAAGTATCATAAAATTAAAACTCTGTACTCTGTGTAAAATCGATTCAAAAATCACTTCCTCTAACAACTATTTTTAAGAAATTTCGTTTTGGCAGACTTTCGACTTGCTCGTCTGTCTGTCTGTATGAACGCAAAGAAGGGGGTCACCAAACTTCTTATACAGTTTTGCTCAAGTCTGGAAAAGAGCGTGTTCTGTTTTATAAGTTCTATAATTCTTTCAACTCCTGATATTGCATTTTGTAATAATAATTCATTGGTGCTTAGTGTCAAGAATTCAACTCTAATGTTATAGCTGGAAATTTAATCTCATTACATACTTTGTTAGCAGTTGTTGTTGTAAATTATAGTAAATTATTAGTTTTAATTAATGATTTATCAAATATCTTACCTTTTTCAATAAGAAGTCAATTTCTGAACAGGTTAAGGAACTTAAGAGTCAAGTGCGCTCGACTGGAAAATATAAACCTTTGCTTCGGCTACAACGCCTAACCCATAACTAGCACACCTAAAAAATAAATACAAACCCTACTAGTAGTAATATTATAAACTTATATTGTTTTGATCTCCCACAGCAATCCCACGCCCCAGCAGGTGCTTGGCATGCACTTCCAGCGCGCGTATCAGGGCGAGATACGATATCTGAACATTAATACGACCTACAATTCGTCCATTCTACTGAACTATCGGCAAACGGAGTGCGCCTTCTGGACCCAATATCTCCCGACAGTTATAGGCGTGCTTGTGCCCACATATCCACCCACAACGGAGTTCTGGTGGGAGCCGAAGGAGCCACTTCAAATAGCCTTCTGGAGCATGTCGGTTGCCTGCTTCTTCCTCATCGTGCTCGTTGTCATTTGCTGCATTATGTGGCGCAACGCGAAGCGGTAAGTTCGTTTTCTCAGCTCTCCTTTGCGCTTCTCAATACAATTTTTGGTTTCAATCTATAGACAATCGGATCGCTTCTACGATGAGGATGTGTTCATCAATGCCGATGGCACAGAGCTGGAACAGGATGCCCGTGGCGTGGGCGTCGACAACGCCCATATGGTGGCCAATCATCATGCCTTGCGTTCGCGGGACAACATCTACGAGTATCGGGACTCGCCATCGAGCAAGACGCTGGCCAGCAAGGCACACACAGACACCACCTCACTGCGCTCGCCCAGCTCCTTGGCCAAGTCGAGCAGTCAGGCCTCGCTCAAGTCCGGCATTTCGCTCAAGGAGTCCAATGGCGGCAGTCTGATCAAATCGGAACGTGCCGCCACACCGCGTTCCATAAGCAATGGTGGCTCGATTGCGATGTCGGGCTCGGGGCCAGCATCCAAAGCAGTGCCTCTGGAGGAGAAGCGTCTGCTGCATCCCATCTCCAGCACGCCCGTCTCCCAGCTGAGCTCAGAGCCGAGCAAACGTATGCCTGCGTCGACGAATGCCTCGGTTTCGGGCAGCAGTCGCAGCACTACGCCCGTGCCCTCGGCCCGCACCACAACAACCACCGCGACATTATCATCCGCACCGCAGGTGGTGCACCAAGTGGTGGCACAGCCTGCAGTCCAGCCACGACGCACACAACTGTTAGAGGGGGTGCCCCAGACCTCCGTCTAAGAAACAGCTCTCTAAGCGTAGTCTCCGCGCTTAGAGAGTCTTCCGTGCGAGACGCAATGCCTGCAAACGAACAACGAATTATAGAAGGTAGGTCTCCAGGTATATGCTTGACTTAGCTTCCTCTTTTTATGCCCTGTACCCATAGCGTGAAAAGCGTATATTAGGTTTGTGCCAAGTATGTAGCTTGAAGAAGGAGCATCTCCCATAAATTATATATATTCTGAAACAGCATGATGAGACGATTCGAGCTAGACATGTCCGTCCGTCTGTTCTTCTGGTTTTCGGAAACGGCTGAGCGCACATTAACCAAACTTGATATGTAGACGCTCCTAGTCCCTAGACAACACGAGTTTATTTAATTTTTTTAATTTTTCTCCCACTCTCCCCGCTACAGACTTTCGTCAATAATGTCTACATTTTAAAACTTACATATAGTAAAACAAATATTGCACACGTGTTCTAAGTAAAGTTATCTAACTTTGTTCAATTTTGTTGTTTGTTTCATCCAAATCCGTCGATTCTAAGAAGAGTTATTTGCTAAACAACTTCACTCCAGCATCAAGTTCGCTCTTCTTCTTTTTGCTTCTGCTTTGGGTGCCGGAAGTTTGTCTGGGTACAGGGTATTTCACTGTCGGGCTTGCTCGACTGTAGCGTTCTCCCTTTTTGTAACATTTGTGTCTTCTTCTTACAGTTCAGTTTCGTATTTAGTTTAGTAGATGCTTGGATCCTGAAATTTCGACCAACTACTATATATTTTTTTGTATTCTAACAAATTTATATACTTTTTTTAATTATTTTTATTTATACTATATAATTAGTTTATATACAGATCTTTAAGATCTCAGACCCTACAAAAAATGTGTATTTAGAAACTTTTAATTGCTATAGAAGTTAAGTGCTTAAGTTCGATAACCCAACGAATACGAATCCATATCAATGACATTCTATAACATAGTTGGCCTGCAACAAGTATATCCTATCCATGGAGCGGCCTATGTGTGTATATAAATCCTAAAGCTAAGATTATTTAAATACTTATTTTCTAATTTTTACTCTAAGCTTTTATATCTAATTGCTTATTAATAATTATGTATAGAAGTTAAGTCGAAATACCCCCACAATACAATGCTATACTTTTGTGTCTTACATCTTGTTTTTATAATTAGACTTACTTTCCGAAACCATGTCTTTTTTTATCTTAAAAAACCTAAAAAACATAAGTAAATATCTTAAGCAAAAATGACAATTTTGATAATGTTAATAAATTTAAAAGCCGAGAGCCTTAAACTCAAAGTGAAATAGTTGGAAAATAAATAAGCAATATCCTGAAATATTCAAAAGAATCATATTTATAGCGATTCTAAATATACATATATGTAAGTGCCTTCTACTCATTACATTGCGCATTCCGTGCCTTCTTCATATACCTATATAAGTAGTTTAGTAATTCGATTAGAATTAGGATATATATTTTGTATATGTTTGTGCGTCGCATATATATATAAATATTTAAATGACCATACCAATCAGTGTGAACCGTCCAATAATTTTATGTTTTCATCAGCAAATGTGTGAGTTGCCGTTTATTTTTGTATATAGTCATCGATTTTGTGTGTGTGAAAACATAAAACCTAACATTAATTAATTGTTTAGCTGTAATTAAATGTAATATGTATGTGCTTTATGTAATTGTTCATATATCAAATTAAATAAAACTTTTAACTCATTTTCGAAACGTTTGTCTACAATGTACTACCTTTAACTCATATTACGTATATATTTTAAGAGAAAAGAAAACACCCTTTTCCACAGCAAAGGTCAAACAGGTAAACAATTTGCACACAAACTCGTACAATTTTAAATATATAATTTTTAAAAAACACACTCTTCAACACAGAAGTGTTATAAATTGTAACACACTTATAAAATTCTACAAATTAGAGTGCAAATAATTTGTCCATAGGAACATAAGTATGGGAACATCCATGGGTGGATTAGAAAATATTAGATAATGTTTACAGAATGAATAATGATTGCCAGGAACAAAACATAAGACCTTTACAGACTTTAGACTTCGGCATGATTGAGAATTTGTGATATTTGAAAATTCAAGAAAATGGTTTTAGTTTTTAAGATCATAGTGTTTTATAGGTCTTTACAGAGCTCAGTTATATATATAACTGGACTTCAGATTTTGTTTATTCCCAAATTAAAAATATTGGGAATTTAATTATTGCATTATTCATGAAAGGGATTTCAAATTTCAATTTCCACCATTGAACTGTATTACATAATTAATTTCAATTCCTTTTAAACGTATGCCAAACAAATTATTTGCTATGCAGAAGAATCTGTAATCTAGGTAAGTAAAATTAAAATATTACACTACAGCTTCTGAAAATATCATTAACTCAAAGTCGTGAAAGTTTTTGGGGATAATTTATTAAGATTTTCAAATAAATCTCGTGAGGGTCGCCCAAAATACATTGCTATTTCAGGAATATTACTTGCTAAGCAAAGATCGTCAAAAGATTAAGACATTCCTGGTTATTATTTCCAACACTATATCAGCGATATTATATGAACATTTTATTGTCTTCAATTGCTGTGTAATTTAAAAAAATTTTTTGGTATCGTAATATATGAGGAATCTTGGATATGCTATATGTACAAAGATGAAAATTGTTAGAAACCAAGCCAATGATCGCCCTTTTTATCGGAAAAACTGGTCATTCTACTTATGAAACAAAGATGTTCTATTCTGAATGGTATATAACCGTTTGAAGTTCCAGAAGTTTTCAAATAAGTGAGAAAAATCAACGACTAAAGTAGAATCACTCCCCAACCACGACTATATGGCTTCAATATTCGATTATTTGATCACCTATATCTATTCAATATTCAATTATTTGGATATATATATAACAAATGGGTCTTCCGACCTACAGGCTTAAATGACTTCTTTTAAATGCCATACACATAACAAATAGAAATATAGGTTTCTTTAAAAATCATATTAAAATCATACTAAAATAATTTAGAGTAGGTTTTAGCTCGTATAAAGGTTGGCAAAAAGTTCAATAAGTATAATTGTAGGTTTTTTTGGGAACAGTATACTAGTATTTTGTTCTGCCAAAGTGGTTGTAATTAAACAAGAGCTAACTGTAGTTATATTTTTACTTTTATTTTGCACAGCACTCTTCTTCTTTGTTGTATATATTAGTATATATAAGTCAATGTTTCTTTGCACTTACAAATATACATAAAATTTTGTTCACATCAAGCCAAAGACGCAGCTTCGACTTGTTTGTGAGAAACAAAATGAAATTTTAGGCCACACGACAAAACCGTGTCCTTTTCTTATACTGTGGTCTAACAGGCAAATAATTTGCGCACAAATACATTAGGGTTTCAGGTTGGTAATGAAATGTAAATCTGCTGTGGTAGAAAATTTTATTTTCGCTTAGCATGTTTGCTGTTTTTGACACGCTTTTAGAATTGAAAGAATTTGTTGCAAATTATTTGCCTGTCTGACCGCAGCTATAAACTTCTCATAAACCTTAGTCAAGAACTTTCAAGTATTATAAAAACTAGAAACACTTAGAGATAGAGCGAGGCTGCAAATACAATGTCACGTTTGAGCAGACGTATGCCCTCGGAGAACTTGTTCTCCAGATCCGTATTTCCAATGGTTTTCGATGCCTGGCACATTTGTCGCAGCAACTCCTCGAGACGTCGCATGCAACGAATAATGGAGCCCTCGAAAATGTCCGTCATTTTGCAGACGCTAAGGAATGAGGCACCCTTGCACCAGGCCAGCACAACATCCATTAAGAATGGTTTGAATTTTTCGACATAGTTCTCCGCATCCAGGTCCAGTTTGCATTCGGTGGACACTTTGGCAATGCGACGGGCCAGATCCTGCATTGAGCGCAAGGGTCCAGACAATTCGGTGGCACATTTGGGCGCGTCACTCGACTTCTCATCGCAAACAAAGCACGAGAGCAAGGCGACTGCTTTCGGAGGACTCAGATCATTGAAGACTCCGTTGAAAATCATCTCAGTCATGAGCAATTCATCCGCTGAGCTCAGCTCGCAGGCCACACGACCCTTGAATTCGATAACATCGCCCGGTTTGCAGTATCCCATGCGTCTGAGCACGCGCTTCCGATGCTTCAGCTCCTCCATTTGCAACAAACTGCGTGCGGCCTTCAGTTCAGAGCGCAAATCGTGCAGTTCGCCCTCCAGCTTCACTTTCTCCAGATAGCGTGCATGCAGGCGCTCCAAGTCCGGCGATTTATGCAAAGGATGCTCGTACAGACGAGCCTCAAATTTGGCAATCGCTTCGACAATGTTGCGAAACTCCGTCTCCCTGATGTGCATATCATCGATCGGATTTAGAACGGGCGGTCCAAGCGGAAATCGTTTCTTGGCCTCCTGTATGGTTTTGAGCACGGCTCGACGATTGTCCGAAGTGCGCAAGTCGTTGGGAAAGTGTACACGTAGCGAGGATATTTGTATGATGAGCGTATGTGCGACTGGGACTACCTCCATGCAGCCACGCTCGTTAGGCGGGCATGGTTCTGTGTCACCGGATTTGGCGGCAGCTTCGCTCACATGCAGCAGCACATCGATGGTAACATGCGGCTCATTATCCTTCGTGGGGTTCTTGCCAGCAAATTTTTCCTTCTTTTTGAAATTAAGCACAATGCCCCAATCATAATCCTGAGCCCCAGCCGTAACCTTGACTAGACGACCCGGCTGCAGAAAGGGAATTAGATATTGTGGCTTTGTGATCCACTGGCGAAACTGTTTCCCATAATGATCCAGCTGCGAGCGTATCTGATGGTACGAGGCTATATTATGCTCATCCTTGAAATGCAATTTCGACAACTCTTGCGTCTTCTTCTGCACCTTTTCGTGCAGCACCGGCAGTGCGGCCTGGTTTTGAAATTGATAAAATGAACGCTCCAGCATATACTCTGGATTGATTTCCTCGACACGCAGCAAATTCAAAACCATATTGTAGGTGAGATGGAAGGCCGAATTGATGGGATCAGCCTTGCCCTGCACAATGCCACGTCCCACTGCTGGCGACACCTTCTCATCGATCATCAATATGACAATGCCTTTGTCATCGAGACCACGCCGTCCTGCACGTCCAGCCATTTGTATATACTCGCCCGAACTTATCCAACGGAAGTCCTTGCCATCGAATTTTCGTGGAGCCGTAAACAGCACCGTACGCGCCGGCATATTAAGACCCATGGCAAAAGTTTCGGTCGCAAAGAGAGCCTTAATCAGGCCCTCCCCAAACAATATCTCAATTGTTTCCTTCAGTATGGGCAGCAGGCCACCATGATGGATGCCAATGCCACGTCTCAGCAACGGCAACACATTCTCCACCTGCGGCAGACGACGATCCTCTTCGCTCAGCACATCCATCGCATTGTTGAATACCTCATCGACCAGTTTCTTTTCGTCGACGGTATTGAAATCTAGTTTGGCCATCTGCATGGCATACACCTCGCACTCCTTTTTGCTGAACGAGAATATGATGACTGGTGCAAAGTTCCTTTCCATTATCATCTTGACAATTTTGAAGATGTTCGTCTGTCCCGAATTTGTGCCCTTTATGCCACCTTTGCGTCCCTTCTGGTCCCCTTTAGCAGCCTCACCTGTCGATGGACAAAGCATTAATAATAATCTATAAAGAATTATTTCACACGATCTGGCACAGTGATTGAGCATTAAAAAAAAATGTGTGTGGTTAATTTGTATTGGTTTGATTCGTGGGGGAACCTTTATTCATCAATAATTGCTGGCTAATGTAAATTTAGCTTGAAAAGAATGGCGTTCGAGCTAGAAAACCGCTAGAAGATGGCTAAAAACCGCTATTAAAAGCTTTGAAACCCGCTAGAAAATGGCAAGAAACAACAATTCATATTTGAAAGATGGAAATCATTATTGCAATCGGACTCTATTTTATATTATTGCTTGAAGGTCTATTATTAATTCTACAAGTATGTTTTTAAATATAAAATAAGTTGTTAGGTTGTATGAATTCTATCTCCTAACAACTGGTATTAAAATTTCTTCTAAAGGCAAAAACGAAATTTCATTTCTATATCAAAATTTCATTTTCCATAATCTACTACATTGCTTGATGGTTTATTTATTCGATGGTTTTAAATATAATTTCTTGGTTCATTATTAATTCTTTGTTTTTAAATATAGGTTAAACTGTTACGAATTATATTTAAAAATTTCCTGACCAGCAAATCAAATCTCTTCTAAAAAATGGTATCAGAATTCCTTTTAAAAGCCAAAACGAAATTTCATTACTGTATCAAATTTTCATTTTCCATAATCTGCTATAATATCGCTTAATGGTTCATGATTTTTTCCATATTTTAAAATATAGAATAAGTATTAAACTGTACTTATTCTATTTAACACATTCCTGACCAGCAAATCAAATCTCTCCTACCAACTGCTATTAAAATTTCTTCTAAAAGCGAAAACAATTTAATTTATTTTCACATTCCATAACCCATAATTTGAAACCACTGTGCCTCGCTACTCACCCGCATTGGCCAACACTGCCATGGCTGTCGTGAAGTTATCCTCCTTGAACTGTCCCTTCTCGTCCACGATCAGATGAATGCCATCGCCCCCCGCCGGGAAGATGTAATGCTGTAGGGGTGTAGGTCTGTAGTCCGTATAGACCACATGGCAGGGCTGCTTGTGCAGATGACACACCCATTCGGCGAACTGGCGAGCATTCGGAATGGTGGCCGAGAGGAAGACATAACGCACATTGTCCGGCAGCAAAATGAGTGTCTCCTCCCACACGACGCCACGCTCCTTGTCACGCATATAATGAATCTCATCGAATATTACCCAACCGACTTCGCGCATTACCTCGCTGCCTCGGTACAGCATGTTGCGCAGAATCTCTGTGGTCATGATCAGGCAAGAAGCTGAGGGATTGATGGTCACGTCGCCGGTTATCAGACCCACATCTTTAAACTCGTCGGTGAATTCGCGGAACTTCTGATTCGATAGCGCCTTGATGGGTGTTGTGTAGATAACGCGCTGCTTGGCTGCCAACGACTTGGCAATGGCGTATTCAGCCACCACTGTCTTGCCGGCCGATGTGTGCGCCGAGACCAGCACGCTCTGGGAATTATCTATGCAGAGTATGGCCTGCTTCTGGAAGGGATCCAGCACAAAGGGATACTCCTTGGCCGGTATACCGCTATACGGTTGTAGCGGTATATACTCTTGATCAGGATGTGCAGCAACCTCATGGGTGCAGGATTCGGGCGCCTCCAGCTGGTGTGTAACGATGCGGGTGCGCAGCGCCTCCAATGCGGATTCCTCGAGGTCTTCCAGTGGCTTGTTGTCAGTGCCGGCTTCATCCTCCTCATCCTCCTCTTCAACGTCCTTTGGCAATGCCTGAATAGCGTCATCTTCCTTTTCCTTTCTTGTCTTAGTTTCTGTGTTGTTTGCGCGCGCACGCTTCTTGGGCTCCTCCCCCCCATCACTTCCGGCTCCATCACTCTCTTTTGTCGCTGCACGCTTAGTTGCTGTTGCTTCCACCGCATTGTTGTTGCTTGTCTCTGTCTGGCTTTTGGGCGCTTCTTCTGTAATCCTTTTTGCGCTGCTTGACGGCGCCTGCAAACTTTCCGGCGGCACCTCGCTAAAGCAATCGAATAGTTCATCAATATCCATTGTTATTTGGCTTTTTAACAATTAATGAGCTTGAGATGCACGTGTTGTGTTGTTTTCAAAGCGGCATAAATAATTGCGTGAGCTGCTTGTAACATCGAGCATTCGATGTATTCGAATTCTTTCCGTGAGTAATTCTATGTTTAAGCATCGATGGCATATCGATGTGGCAAGATAGCAACGAAACATCATCGTTGTTCTCGTGGATTGTGATGAAATTGCAGCGGTTTTATATTATTATTAATTCATTTTAAAAAGTAATTTCAAAAATGAATAGCTATAGCATATATAAACTTCATGCAGCTTTTATTCGTTTATGAAATCATCTTTGTTCAATGTTTTTTAATTTGACGTAGACCCTCTTCAAGTTGCCTTTGTCTTAACACGATTTAGATAGCAACCGGCAAACAAAGTTTTTAAACAGAAAACTTTAAGTGAAGCAATAATATAATCTATTATATCTTTTTCTAACGGATTTACAATGCTATGATAGAATAAATTTCAAAAATTAGTGAACGACAAAAATTGTTAATTATATATCTAAAGCTTTATTTCCTTATTTCTTTGTTTAAAATAAAGACCAAAGTACACTAAAGTAGTATACACCTAAGTCTGCTATTACATAACAGATTGGTTCCAGAAAAAACCGGGGAAAAAAAAACCGTGTAAGAAATACATTGATCATAATAAAAAATAGGTAATTGGTCTCTGATCTCTAAATAAAAAATTAAAATCAGTAAATAAAAATACGGATTTATGTTTTTTTTTATTCAATTACATACATAATGTACATAACGACCCATATAAGAATAGTTTCAAGCTGTTTGCCACCTGTATACGTTTTTATTTATTTATTTTGTGTTATTTTGAATCGTGCTAAATAATAATGATAATTAATAATAAAGTCGTGTAACAATATATAAAATGTTTAATCTTCAAGCCGTATTAAATAAGTTTTACCTTTTGGCGATTTCTTTCAGTAACCTACGTTATTTACCTACCTTTTAAAATTGTTTTGTCAACTGCTTCAAAATTTTAGTAAATTACTAACAGATAGCAAATTAAGCCATTCGTTGCTACCTTTGCAAAGATATTTTGGTATCGATACTTCACTGTGTACATAAAAGCTGACTGCTATGTAACATTCTCGAAACAGCTGTTTTAGTTTTTCTTCTTCAGCAAACGGTATGTAATTTTTAGAGCTGCACAATATTTTACTGTTTAATCAATTTTGTTTAAAGAAAAACTACGAAAATGGTAGCCGGTGGTGCTTCGGATACGGGTGGCGTCAAGCCCATGGCCATTGCAGGCCGTATGGTGCGAGAACGAGAGCGTCTAATTGGCATGACAAATGAGGAACGCTCCTGGCGCAAACAGTGGCTGAAGGACCAGGAACTGCATCACGGTCCACGCAAGGTGCCTGCCCTGGAGCTGGAGCTCAACAACCCGATCAAACGCTTCTACCGTGCGCCCTTAGACAAAGTGTGTGACCTGCTAACACCAGCTCTGGTGAGTATTTGGGGTTCGACGTGCCCCCATTATGTAATCGTTCGGAATTTGTTTAATGTTTTGTTTTTTTGCGGCCGAATGGTATTTTGCAGGGTTTCCAGCGCGCCTACACGATACGTTACTGGACAGGCAAGGCGCTCATTGCATTAACGGGTATTTATGCCGGCGCCTACTACTTCAAATACAATCAGAATGTGAGTAATGATAGTTCTCAAGCGGCAGGGTCGAATTGTAGATGAGAAAATTGTGTTTTAGAGTAGTTTTAGAAAACAATAGTTAAAATTGATAGAATTATAGTATCAGAGAACAAAATTATAACTTCGAACTAATCAAACTGTAAATAATCGTAATTGTAATATTTGTAAATAATCGTAATTGTAAACAAGCATAAGCTTAATGCGTTAGTAGCTATATCTTGCTTTATAAGCTGCTTGCAATTTGTGATTGTAAGTGGAATTTTAATAATAATATAACTTCGAGTAAGTCAAACTTCTCTATAATCAATTTGTTGGTTGCCTGAAAAGATTAGTGAAGGGTAGATCTCAGTCAGTAACCACTTAACATCATTAATATTGTCTATAAAAACATCTACCGAAATCAAGCCAATGATCTTAGTAATTACTTTTGATTGCATAAACCAGAATTAAAACAAACCAGTGCTAATGAAGCTTCTCAAGAACCCATTCCTTATGTACTCTATGTATTCCCCATAAAGTTTACAGTATAGAACAGTTCTTCTGGAGTATTTTATTTATGCACTATTTTAATAAATAATATTTTAATAACAAAAATGACATTATTTTAAAGACACTTTCAGAAATTCAATTGTAGCTCTTTCATTTTTTCCAGAGCTAAAAACTTCACATTCTATACTCTATGATATCTTTCTACCAAAATATCATCCTTAGTGGCTTTCTTTATACATTTATAGAATACATACATAGAATATCTTATCAATACTAAACAATATCCTTTTATACGATCAATTAAAGAGAATAAATATTTTACCACATATATTAGTTTAAATATATAATTGGAAAACATGTTCATTTTATAACTAAGATTTTGAATTTATAACGGAAAGTGAACTCAACTTTATATCTAGTCTAAAAGTTGTAAGAATATCAAAGGTTTTTAATGTTTAATGCTCAAAAACTAACTTAATTGATTAGTTACTGATATTTAGTTTATAAATAGCGGTATATGCGTTACTTTAAGATTATTTTATTTATTGTTTGCATTATTATGAAGTTTTTTTTACAACTTAGATTTAATTCTTGTTTCTCTCTTTCAGGATTGGACCCGCAAGGGTGGTTGGCGTGTCATTTCTTCGCGAAAACCCTGCCTGCCTGGTGATGAAGGTTACCCCAAGGGCTCAGATCGATCGAATCCGGCAGACTATGCGGCACGTGGCTTCAAGGCATCGCCCATATAAACGATCCACATACGCTCATCCAACCAAGCTTTAGTTGCAAATGTAAATTAATTATAATGGAAAAAAAGAATTGTAATAAATGTGGCGAATTGGCCAACAGTCATCAGTCAACTGTTATCTGAAAATCTTGGCTTTGGGCGAGTTCTGCCATGGCTGTTGTGAATTGTGCTGGCCAAAGCGAATTTCTTATTGCTTAGTTAAGCATTTTGCTGGCCTAAACGAAAAGCAAAATACAATTGCAGCTGCTTGTCATTTCTGGTGAATTATCCGCTTCTCTTTTATTTTGTTGTTCGAGGTGCAGTGCAACATGTCGCCGACGCGGGTGTAAAATTCACATAAACGCCAATATATTTTATACAAGTGCCTGTTAATACTAATTTAAAATACACAAATTAGTGTGTGGTTGTGCAATTTCGCAAAATACTGAGCAATATTATTCAAATGCCGATCAACAAAAAATACAATCGATAACACGACAACGAGCTTTAGGCGCTCAAAAGAGTTGCCAGAGCAGCAAGAGCAGCAAAGCGCTCTTTGCTGTTGCTTTTGACGTTCATGTCTAGCGACTGGCGTCGACGCCGACGTCTCTGCCGCTGTCGCTGCCGCTCTCACAGAATGCTGCCCCCAGATGGGAATTTTTCTTTGCCAACCACTCAGTTGTTTTTGCTGGTGCGCTGCCCCTCGTTTGAAGCTAAGCAGCAATGGTGCACAACAGGCATTAAAATTTTGTAAATTTAAAAGTTGGAGAAGTCTTTACAATTGTGTTTACTTATTTTTACTGGGTTTAAATACACCCAAGTAATGCACGCGCATTCTGAACGCACTTGGCCTTGACTTTTTCGTATTCCAAAAGGTAAAAGCCGCATCAGCTACCGGCTACGGAAAGAAAGAGCCAGAAATTAAACCGAAAGAAATTAAAACTGTCTTGCTGGCGAACTAAAACGCAGTGGAAGTACATATGTACATATTTAAGATCGGAACGCTTTGCTTCCCAACGCGCGTGTGTGTGTGTTAGTGTTTTTGCATGTGCCGTCGGTATTGTGTGCAATTTTTTTTTGTCACGACTTCGAAAGCAAGAATTTTATAAGTAAAAAGCCTACATATGTACAAACCTACATAAATCGTTAAGAGTGTATGTACGTATTTACATCTCTATAAATGTAGGCTTTTGTTTAAAAAGAATAAAACTCGTGGTAGAATTGGATAATTTCTGCCCACCTAAAGGTAACTCTCGGAGCTGCACTCTGCATTCGCCCTCAATTTAGTGAGAAGAAAAAAAGGTAAGTGCCCAGGCACTGCACGGCAGGTGCAATTTTTGTTAAAATCCTGCTCTTACATTTGCCTCGCATTTTTTATGTGCCTAAGTTTTGCCATTTTTTTTTTTGCACTTGTCATCATTGGCGATTCCGTTCATTTTTTCGATTCTTACTACACATTCTCCGGCAAGCACACACACACTCACACATAAGCGAATTCACTCACACATTTCGGTCTTATTTTGGCTCTCTTCGTTGCTGTCACTTTATAGCGCACTCGTTGACTTTTGCTTCCCGCGCGCGGGAAATTCTCAACTTTGCTATATTAATAAAATTGATAATTCTGCAAGGATTTTATTCAAACAAAAAGAATTTGATTCTGCATGTCTTACTGTATTAAATGCATTGTAATGCAGCACACATTTTATTCAAAAATGTATGCCCAGAAGCGCTTGAAGTTGATGCTAAAATGTCAAAATACACGTCGACGTGTTGCTGTGCATGTAAACAAAGTTGTTGTTGTTTGCTGTCTGTGGCGGCGGTGCTGCCACCCTGTCGCGCTTTTTCGTTTCGCATGTTGGTGTTTAAAGTGAATATTTTTAATTTGTGCCAAATATTTTAAAGATTTTTTTCCAAATTTCAAAAGTCTTTTTTTTATACTTTGGAACATATTTTGAAAATCTTGTATAATATATAGCACACTTGTTTGGCCATGTAAAATATTATTACTGTGAGTTTATAGAAAGTTTAACTTTGGCAATAATGTTTTTATTTGATTTGCATTAAAAAATTACATTTTAATATCAATTTGCATCACAAATGTGTTTCTGTGTCAACTGTGTACTGAAGCAATTCCACCTTACTGGCAACTTTTACAGCTGTTGCGCGCGAACGCCGTTAAACGAGCGCCATAACACAGCTGGTTTCTTCACATGCACATTCATATAGGGTCGCATGTGAGTTGCTCTCTTTCTCTGCCAACGTCAACGGTGTCGCTCTGGTATGGTCACCATTCGATCATACTGCTGCTGCCTGCTGCTCGACGTGAAGTTTACGACTACGAAAAATTTTCATTTCAAGTGCGTAGCGTAGAAAATTGATAATTAAACACATTAAAATGGCTCAAATCTAAAAGATTTTCCCTGTTGACGAAAGTGCGTGAATTGCAGTTAATGCCAGAGGTAAAAAATTTTCAATCGGCCACGTTTATCACTTGCAAAAAATGGTGTGTGTAAATATATTACGTGTGTGTGCAAAGCGACGTCGCGTCGATGTCGCGCTGCTGGTTGTGCTCATTGCTAGTGTTGCTATTGTGCTACTGCTGCTGTGGTCGTGCAGGTCTCGACGAAAAAAATACGCAGCCACACATGTGGGATGTGGCAAAAGGCTATAATATTAAGAAATATGAATTGAAAACAACAATTATGGCTTAATTACTAATTGATGTAAAGTTTTGCGCCAACACCAATAAGAAAAATAATGCTAATGCTTCGATGGAGTTCAATGAACTTCAATGCTCATAAAATCCTTTAGCACTCTATTGGCAGTGCTCGGGATTCATTCAAGGCACTGCTCTTATCAACGCTGCATTCATAGAAATTTCTTTTCGGAACTACGTTTGTCAATGCCGGCAAGGATCTTGTCAGTCTCGCAGCGCTCATTGCAGTTGCTCTGCGCCAAGCACCGTTACCTTCACCTTGCTGCACTTTTCCCGCCATCGCAATAGATATTTGGGCGGTAAAACAAAAATGCGCCAACACAAACGCCTAATTCGCGCGCCACTTTATATTTCTCCATTCTCTTCCCCATGCTCGTTTTTTTTTTGTTGGTTGATACGTACGTACATATGTACATTTCCTCCAATGACACTGGGTCTGGCCAGCTTGTTTCGTTCATGCTCTCGCGCACAACGAAATGCTCTCTTCCGTTCTGCCTCCAATCCAGAATAACGACGAGTCGACGACTCGATTTACAGAGCAGAGCACAGCAGCGACGGCAACTCACTCACTCACTTGACTGGGCAGTCGACTTTTTCTTTCACATTCTCTTTGGGGGGCACAACAGCAACAACAAACAAAAACTTTTTAGTACACGAAAAGTTGGCGGCGCTGTTGCTTCGCTGTCGGCGTCAGCGTCACTGCTGCTGCTGGCGCGCGCGGGAAAAGTTCAACGCCAAACTTCGAACTAAGTAGGGTTGTGTGCGTGACCTAATTTTCTGTCACGTTAAAAGGAATGATTTAATTTGCAGGCTAAAAAGGCTCTTCTTTAAATTAAAAGCGTTATTTTGTAAAAAGTCAACAAACGCTTTAGGAACAACATTTATTGCGTAAAGTATTACAAGCTCTAAGGTATTTTTTTGTGGGCACCACTTTATATTGTTATGTGCGTGTCGTGATGGAAGATCGCGACTCACGCACATCGCTACTTCGAACCTTTTGAAAACTTGACGAAGACGAATGAATGCACAAAGTAAAGAGTGGAAGAAAAAACGTGTAGCCATTCAAGAGAGCAACAAAATAAAAGAAAAATAAAGCAGCTTGACATGAAATTGAATTATGTCAGAAATGGCGCAAAATCTTTGGTAGAATGTTGTAGCTGCAAAGTTCAAGAAAGAAGGGGAGCAGAGCCGACAGCCAGTTGGCGGGCTTTGGAGCCATTATCACTACATTTTGTGTTGTTGTTGTTGTTTTTGTTGTGAGTAGTAAAGAGGAAGGTTCATTGATATTTGGTTCTTTTTATGTTCGTCTTCGCTACTTACCTTTGTACTTGCATGCACACTCATACATATATGTACATATGTATGTATGTATGTATGTGTTGTGTGCTACAATTTCATCCGCTTTGACTTTCTTCTTTGCTTTTTTGCATTCTTTAAGGTGCTACTAACATACATACATGCATATGTATGTATGTATTATATTTATGCATGTATGTATGTATAAGTACTTATATACATAAAGCTTTATATTGCGTCTTGCTTTTAAATTTGCGCGTAATATTTTTTATTTTTTTGTGTATTTGACTCGTTTGTTTATGGTTTCTGGGAAAAGGGGCGTGGGGCATGCAAATATATTTATTTCTTATTAGATAGAGAGGTACAACGGGCACTGATGTGTGTTTATAAAATGTAATCAACCGAAATTATACTAAAGAGTGAAATGATGGAATAATTGTTAGAAAAATAAATAGCTAACTACAGATAGCACGCCTTAAAAAAACGACCAGGTCCAGCTTATTTTCGATTTTAATGAAAGGGTATACTATGTACGAATATAATGCAATTCACTCTCAATCTATTTGTGATTTTCCAAAGCTCTCCTAATTTGTAGAATTTTCTTACGAAATTTTACATAACATCCTGTTAAAGCTTATGGATCTTTAAAGATTATTCTAAAGGAATATATACCGTGAAAACTCCTTAATGGACGCCTCTTTTATCCGGACACTCTCATCGGCGGACACTTTTTCTAAAAACATTCGATCGGTGTTTAAACTATTTAAGTATCCCCTTAAGCGGACACTCCCCTTGGGCGTCGTTGTTTTTATACCCTTTACCTAAAGGCTTAAAGGTTATACAAGCTGTTGATTTAACTCTGTATTCCCAACCCGATTCAAATGTATTTTATTTGAAGTACTCGTAGGCATGGGATTTTTAAAACTCTAGTATTCCATTCCATTCATCCACGCTAATATTAAGTCTCAAAGCTATGTGTTTTTGTGCAATTTTTTAATTTATTTATAAATTCGAATAACTAGTGAATGAAGTTTTTAATAATTTGCAGTGCAAGAAATAGAAATTTCTTAAATATTAGCAATTCATGATCTCCAACAGCACTTCTCATAATTGTTTGCATATTCGTAAAATCCTTTCAACACCTCCTCTATTATGTGTTTACAATACACCTCTATTGATAGCCGCTTGCCTCAAGTGCCATGCCTTGCCTTGCTGCTGATGCGGCAGAAAATCAAACGCGCCACATAATCGAAATTCCTTCACATAATATTGTAGTATTACATGACGAAAAGGAGAAAACTCATTTGTTATAAATATTGGTGTGTGGTTGAATGGAGAGGTGGAGGTGGAGAAATCAGGAATCACCTGCCCATTTAACCCGAATTCTCAGTAAACGAGACTCTATTTCTCAATTACAGCTACAAATATTGGAGAATCTCAAATTCAAACTGAACAGCATTTTTCATTGTCTAGTTGCCTGAAATTTATGCGCGGTACTTTTGTCGCAGGAAGCCCTAGAAGTTGACCGAAAGTAGAAACAACAATGATAAACAGTTTCCAGTTATTTTCGTGCAAACAAAGGAGCAAAAAAGAAAGGAAAAGGATAGCTCCCTTGGAGATACGCATATTTGGGCACTTGAAGCCATTTGCCGCCAAGTCAGTCGCATCCTTTTTAGACGCGCTGCTAAATATAAACTAAATAATCAATTGAGCGCGTCTCTCCTCCTAACGGCTACTTCAAGGCTGGCAGTTCCTAGAAATTGAAGAACGCTGGTCCGTTTGAGAGAGCGACTCTCGCGCATTCATTGAAGAACTTTGGTTTTGATATTTCGAGTCTGGTCCGATACTTTCACACGCTGTGCCGTCCAGTTCCACTTGAGACTGAAGCGGCGCAAATGCAAATACACTGAACAAATTCTTGGCAAATATATTAGACCTTAATTTGTGAGTGTTTTTAATTTAGGAAGACATACATCCTTATTATGACTAAAGGGTGCTTAAAATAATTTTAAGATGCATGATTTTGCTATTTCAGAATGCAGTTTTAAGGTTTTAATTTTATAAATTGTATGCGAAGGGTACAAAAGGGTTCAAAAAGTGGGTGCAATTGCATGTAACGGCCAGAAGAAGACATCTCCAACTCTTAATATTGATAAAAATCTATGTATAGCCCTGCCCTTTATCCGTCGATCCATTCATCCCCCCATCCATCTGTGAACAAACTTGAGATTTATGATTCACTTCTGCCTTTTTCCGCCATAGAGTTTTATCCCCATTTCCAAAGCTACAAAGATCAGCTTATATGTAAATAATTCTTGTATCACTCTTTTCCTAATGAAATCGGTTCGAATTGCTTACTCGCTTTTTCTTCGAGTGTATGCGACTTTCCTGTTTTGCAGGCAACGTCGTTGCACTTAGAGTTCCAACTAATTGCAGTCAGTCGCCGTCGTTGTCGTCGCCAACCGCAGGCAACAGAGCCGCACAGAGCTCAACGGTAACAGATACAGATACACACACATACATAGTTATCTGAAGTATCTCAGGAATGTATCTTCACAATGCAACAGCGCAAAAAGGACGCAGAATTGGTGAAGACTCTGCGATCCAAAGCGAAACTCGTCGACCTGTTTTCTTTTCTTTATTATTTTTATTTGTTCCCTTATCTCCTCTCTCACACTCTCTCATTGCACATTTTGCACACATTTTTCGCATCAACATTTCAACTCGAAACTGGAAATATTTATACCTACCCATATGTGCTTTTGTATCTTTACGGATGCGGCTATACACTATGTACTATGTATAGCTCCTTGTGGGAAATGTTGGTTTTCCAAAACTATAAAGAACTACACAGAGCCCGCTCTCTCTCTCTGTCTCCATTTGTTTGCACATATCATATGGGAACTAAAAATTTTGCTTCCTCCTTGCCCGATTCCAGTTAAATCCGTTCGCGGCTATGCATTGTTTTTGTTGTTTTTGTTGACCTTGGCTCTCAGGTAAACATCAAAAATTTACTCAGGCGTCTAATTAGGCGCTTTGCCAGGACTGTGAACTGTGTGTTTGTGTCGGTAGTTTGATCTTTTATGTTATCCATGCATACTATATTTGTATACCTGTCGCTGCATAATTCTCTGAACTAACATCGTCGCTTAATCTTCATTAGAGTAAGTCGTTGTTTTCTCCCAAACACAAATTGTCTCGTGTGTGGCACTGTCATAAGCAAAGGAATGTCATTTATTAGCAATAATTGCATGACAGCCGGTTTAGAAAGAAATACTATATGCAATCGAAGAATATAATAGATAAAATCGAAGAAGATATCAAACATAAGATATCAGAATTCAATCAATTTTGGGCATCTGCGTGTGTCAAGGCTAAGCTTAGTAGTGAGGCCTGGCATAGTTTAACGAACTAACAGGAATATGAGTTCCTTCTTGAGCATGACTCGGTTCGAATCATGTTTTAAAATAAATAATTACTTACATAAAATTGGGTATATATAAAAAAAAATACGAACAATAATAAATAAAAGCCAGAGCTATATCTTTTTGCCTTCAAAAAATGCAGGAAAATTTATTCCTTAAAAAAAAACCTATTCGTTGCTTCGTATAACCGATAACTATCAGTCAGCCCTCGAAATGGGTTTAAAATGGATTCAAATTTGTCAAATTCTTATTTAATTATGAAATAAAATGAAGATGAGAAATTACCTATTTAATACCATTATTTAATACTTAAACACTACTTTCTAATCTTTCCCAACCTTTTCAAATTAAATTTAATTACTTAATTTAATTACTTAATTGAAAACATTCCTTATTCAATTAACACTCTCAGTCAGCCTCCGAAATGGGTTTAAAATGGATTCAAATTTGTCAAATTCTTATTTAATTATGAAAGAAAATGAAGATGAGAAATGACTTATTTGAAACAATTATTTAATATTTAAACACTCCTTTCATTCCTATCCTTTCTATCACATTTTATTGTGAAATAAAATGAAGTCGAGAAATTACTTTTTTGAAACAAATCCTTTCCTATACTTCCCAACCTTTTCAACACTTTTAATTGTTGAAATAAAATTAAGCCGAGCAATTACTTATTTGAAGCCATTTCTTATTCAATCAACTCTCTCAGCTAGCCCCCGAAATAGGTTTAAAATGGATTCGAATATGTTAGCTTTAAAACAATGAAATGTTTCTTTGAACATTCAAAACATTTGTTATATTTGTTTAAAATAATAAACATAAAGTTGTTATCAAAAATTTTTAATTACAGAATTTTTTTTAAATTTATATCACAATACAATTTTTTTCCTATATTGCAAGCTAGAGTCTGAGTTGTGAAAAAAACAACTGGAAAACAGATCTATAAGTTAACAAAAATGACGAAACAACTTTCTTGAAAAGCAAGTCCGCATGTTAAGGCCATTATTTGGTAGAGGCCTATGAAGAAAGGACATGAAATCAATGAACAATACATAGTATTCCAGGTAGTTTGAAAGAGGGTTGCATTTTTTATTTTTGTAGCAAATGTCCTGAAAAAAGCATTTAAAGGAACACGAAAAATGGGAACCAATTAATTAGTGGGCACATACGCAATTAGTGTGAAAATAACGGTTAGAGAAGCAAAATATTGTGTACGCAAAAGGCAGGAAACTGCCGAAGTCAAGGCATAGAAAACACGAAAATGTGCGATACTGATAACAAAAAGAAAAAACCCGAAAGAAAGTCGTTAACTAGCAAAAGCAGCAGGAGGAAAGAAATGGGGTAGTTGTTGCTCAAAAAAAAGAAGTGGGAAAGTGGCAGATAAAGGCGGCAGCGGCGCACATAAATCGTGGCAAATATAACGCCAGCCCATATGTCACAAACACACACACACACACACGCATGCGGAAGTAGCAGAAGGAAGCAAAAGCAACAGCAACAAGGAAGTGGATATAAAAGTTAAGAAAGACGCAACGGGATACGAATGCGTTGGGCAATTAGCAGCAAGGAAGGGAAAGGAAGGGAAGGGGGGAAGTCAATTGAAGTTGCATGCAACAGAATGTTGCCAAAGTCTATTAAAGAATCGAATAGAAAAGGAATCCTGCTGTCTGTCTTCTGCCGACGCCAACGGAATCAGCCTGCATATCAAGCAGGGGCTCGACAGCGGCGGCTCTAAACAGCTGCGCAGGCGCATTCACCTGCCCGCAGCAAGAGCGACTCGATAGCGACCGCAGCAGCAGCAACAACAACAGGTGCATTGCGCCAATATGTATTAGAGAGATAGAGGGGGGAGCTACAAATAATTAAGCGCTATAAAAACCATCAACAGTTGACGTTGCGCATGCGTCGTCCCTAAAAACCAAACACCTGACACTCCACATCTTCACGAAACAGGAAAGGGCCAAGAAGCAACCTGCAGTCACATTTTAATTGAGACTCGTGGAAATTCAAGGAAAAACTTCGCAACAGCTGAACTGCACTACCTGGTTCCTGTTTCGACCTAACCTAACTCAAAAGTTGAGTGTAATTTGAATATTTGTGGGCACGTCTCTACTATTTTTAACATGATCATATAAAAGAACATCGTTCAATATTTACTTTAGAACCTTGCTAAAATATATGTGTTCGAGCAACAAGGAACCGATTTTCCGAAAAACGCACGTAAACAAATTTGTTTGGGTTTTGTTTTTAGTGCTGTTGCTGGCTATCGAAGGTCTTTTGGGTAACAGACCTCCGACAGAAGACCACTCGACCACATGCTGTCCGTTCGTTCTTCTCACATGTTGTGTGCTTGTGTGGGTCCTTGAAGGACCTCTGGCGCAAATATACGCAACTAGTTTAGTGTACACATATGCAGAGTTTGTGTACATTTTGAAAATATCGGGTGTATGTGAAAATGCTTCTAACGGTTTGTTTTATGATAAAAATAGAAATAAAAGAACAAATTTCCCAAATAAACGTGAAGCAACACTATTTCTAAAATAAAAATAAAATAATTTTTAACTAATTTTAAGTTTATTTTGTGTTTTTAAGATTCAATTTTTATATTTGTATAATTTAATTTCATATAATTTGCTCATTTTCAGTTGATTTTTGTTTTGTGAGCATCAATACCTGCTTTTGTAGCAGCACCTACTACCTCCTTAGATATTAACTTAAAATAAACCTCAATGGATGCTCAAGAGCGTAAAATAATGGATACAAATGGGTAAGTGAGAAACATAATTACCCAATTCTATATGAAATAAATACCATTTGATTAGCCAACTCTGCTCAGCACAGCAACACTTATTAAGATTAAATCTTAAATTTATGCTGAAATATTTGAAAAATTATCTTAACGAAGGAAGAAATAAATGAAGTCAAATTATCTTTTGAAATTATACCATATATGAAGCAAGAGAGAGGGGCTCTCTCTGTTGCTGCACTGATTTGATTAAATTTTAGAAACTATGAGATCATCAGCAGATAAACAAAGAAAATGTTTGCAACGATCTGTCCTACGGCAGCTTAATAAGATAATACGGCTATATATAGTGTGGTTTAACTTAGTCTGCGTATGGAGTAAAACAAGTTTTTAAAACCAGTACGGAGGTGGTTCCAAAGCTATCGTTGTTCATACAGACAGACATTGGAATATATATTATATCGATTCTGTTCAACATGCTGATCATTTACTAAGTATGAAGCCTCCTTCTTTGTTCTGTTGAATGTCCATTATGGTTGTGGTTCCAAAGCTATAGTTGTTCATACAGACAGACATTCTGCGCATAGCCTCCACCTTTGTTATTTTGAATGTTATTCTAATTAAATTGAATTAAATACAAACTATAATATTATTTGAGTAGCTGGTAAACCTTTTCATTGTTCTTCTTCTTTAAGAATTGTTGTTAATTAACAAACACCCCACATGGAATATTAAAAGAAAGCAAAAATTGGGAAATGTCTAATTTCTAAGCGACTTCCTGTAGCGACAAACGACGACAGCAACTTCCTTAGCCAACCAACAACGACTACAACTATTACAAATATCCTGGTAGCTGCCACATACTAGCATAAGTCGGACCTTTATTTGTGTGCCACACATCTTGGATAGCAAATGTCAATGATGTTTATCTAATGGCGTTTTCGTAATTATAAAATGACGGGCCAACTGGTTATGCCTGACTACCCTGCGGGTGAACCCCGCCACACCAGAGTGGAAAACAAAACAAAACTCAGAGCAGATAATCTAAAATGCATTTTCACTTCAAAGTTCGAAATGCATTTTTGTCATTCGCAGCAAAATCCAACAGCTGTTGTACTATAGGTGTTAAAAAAAAACCGACTTCATACTCGAATATATGTGCTGGAATGCGATAACCAGCCGTTCTCAATCGGTCCGAGTGTAAAGGTATTTTATGGGTGACATACCGATGCATTCCAAAGAGTGCTGGTCACCATGTGATTAGAAAATAATTGTGCGCGAAAATGTCATTAGATAAACATTTAGTTTGCTCGGTGGTTGCTGGCTGGCTGTCCTTATTTTCGTCCACCTTGCCAGTCCGTTGATGATGTTGTCATATTATTGCAGGACTGTGCGCTTGCTTGCGGCTTTTTAGCTTTCCAGGACATAGGACATTGCGGGCCGAAATTAATTGAGTTTAATACGCCCAGTACACCCCCGACGCATGATGAACATAATTGCATAATTGCCTAGTCATTTGGTTTTGTCAGTTGCAGCCCCTGCCATGTACTCCCTGGACTCTAGTCTGCACACCCCGTCGTATGCATCGGCATCGGCTGACCGTTTCTGACCGATCACTTAAGTGATAGTCCATTTTATGGACATATTTCGTAGTCGGCATGTGTGCGACATAATTATTGGTGTAGTGTTGCAAAAATATGTTGTCAGAATTTTAACGGAATTTCAATCATAATTTCAACTTTTCTGATGTTATGTGCAATTATTGTTGCATACTTTTGAGGGCTATCATCATACTAGAGATTCATTTAATCTGATGTACTAGACTGATTTAAGCTAAAATATGCCTGCTTTTAGTTATAATTGTGTTGTTACTATGATATGGGAATTACTGACTGATCCTGTCGGTATGCCAAATAGGATAATGCTTTAAAAAGGGCCAGGAATTACTGGGAATATTAAAATGACTGCATGCTGTAGGTTTTTAGAGAGCTTTGTTGAACCTTTGCTTTGAAATATGCCTTCTTTTTGATACAATTGCATTTATAGTTGAGTTCATAAAGGAATTACTGACTGATCCTGTCGGTATGCCAAAAAGGATAATGCTTTAAAAAGGGCCTGGAACTACCGGGAATATTAAAATGAGTGCATGCTGTAGGTTTTTAGAGAGCTTTGTTGAACCTTTGCTTTGAAATATGCCTTCTTTTTGATACAATTACATTAATAGTTGAGTTGAGAAGGGAATTATGGAATAATCCTAAATAATGTTGTGAAAAGAGCTCGAAATTGCTGGAAATGTTGAAATGGCTGCATGCTACAGGTTTTTAGAGAGGTTTTTGGAATCTTAGCTGCTGGAAAAGCATTTATTTGGAAGAGAAATTTCATAGTAAGAACTAATTATATTTAAATATTTACTGAAACAAAAAAAAAGAACTATTTTACTAAATCATAATTTTATTTAAGCACTAATTGTATTTAAATAATTAAAGAAAAAATAAATATTTTTCAAAATCATAATTTTATTTAATTCTTAGTGCTTTTTTTTTTTAATAAGCACTAATAGTATTTAAATATTTAAAAAAAAAGAAGTATTTTTCAAAACCATAATCCCATTTAATTCTTCCTAGTTCTTTTTCGTTTTTTTTTTTAATAGGCACTAATTATATTTAAATACTTAAACAAAAAAGAAGTATTTTTCAAAATCATAATCCATTTAATTCTTTCTAGTTTTTTTTTTTTTTAATAGGCATTTTAAAAATTTGTATTTAAACAATTTAATGATCCTGTCTAAATATTACCTCAATTTCGGATAACGTTTAAATAGTATCAAAAATATAGTCTTCATGAAATATAATTGCGCGATCACTCAGGAGAAGAGTGAGTTGAAAGCCTGAAGAAAATAACGCGTCCCTTACTTTATTTCCTTTACGCAAACATTCAAATGATTATATTGTACAAATAAATGTGGTTACTTTATGTAAATAGCAATAAAAATTCCTGAATTTTGATAGAATGTTTAAAATAAATTAGGCTTAAAAAAACTGTTTGTATGTCGATTTCACATGGCATAGGAACATTTAATAAATAAATAAATAGGCTTAAAAAAGCATTTCTTTGTAAATAATATGCATATGTATAAATTTTTTAAATAGGAAGGTAATATTAATTTATACTCGTATATGTATTTGCTTTTTAATAACAAGTTGTAGTTTTTTTTTTTTTTTTTTTTTTTTTTATAAATATTTTTAAAATATTTTTCAAATTATAGCCTGCTCCCTATGCAAAGACAGACCACCACGAGCCTTCCCTCATCATGCATTTCAGCTGCACTTTTTTGTAATCTGTACCCAAAGGGGGTGAGGGTGTACTAGAAAGTCTAAACACCAAATGGCAGACCAAGTGAATTACAAAATATATATATAGCCTCATGATTTTATATAGCAGTCGGCAATAAGTAATTCTTTTTGGAATATAAAACAAAGTATGCCCCCCCACCATAAGCTGAAGTTGTATTAAAATTGGTTAACCATTTCATATAACTGCCATAGAAACGATTTATAAGTTGAACAACTGTAGTAGTGTGAGATAGAGAGAGAGAGAGAGAGAGAGAGAGTTTGGAGGTGCAGGGCATACAAGAGTCAGGCTCGCCACGATTCGTCCTTATGCTCGCTTAAGCCTTTCTCTTCACACCTTGATGCGCACACAAGCAACAAGATTTTACCACGCTGCCAAAAATTATAAATGCTTAGGAGAAATGTGAAGGTACACACACAAAACTTTCACCGAAACTAGGCGAGCAAGAAGGAAGGATCTCCATCGAGCGCTAACCGACAAATTTTTTCCTACATTGAACCTCTAACCAGCGAACTGACCTTCGTTGACAAAGTTGTGCGGTCTGTGCACGTAGTTGCCATTAGCCCTTTAGCCCTTGCTTTCCCTTGCACATAACTCATTTTTAAGCGATTTCATTTCCTCGTAATTTACTACGTGATTACTTTTTCTTGTTCATTAACCATTAAACGCGATCGATAAAGCAGAAGTAACAGCAACGGCAGAAGCAGCACCAACAGCAGCTAAAAACCTTGACGAGGATCAAAACAAGCTGCCTGCCGTGTGCGCGTGATCCTTTGGCTTAGCATTTGAATTTATGTGCTGCTGATGCTGCCAAACAAAATATTCAGTCAGCCGCCCCTTTTCAAGACGGTTTTTTAATGAAGCAGCCAAAGGGGCGCCTTTTTTGTCGATTCGCCGAGATGCTGCTGAGATGCTCGAATCGGATCGGATCGGATCTTAAGGGTTGACTCGAATTGCAAAAATTCAATTCGCGCAACGAATTGTCTGAAGTGCAGTGCAGTTTTTCTTTTTTACTTAAATTTCAACCCAAGGCCTGGCAGACATGCCGACAGGGAGGCAGGCATTTCTTTACTCTCGAGATAAACATCTGCTCGAGGCGTTTGCATAATGCATAATGTGCATGCAAATTTGCCAAAATTGCTTAATTTTTTCGTTCTTGAGTAGGGAATGGGAGAAAGCCTTTCGCTTCAATTTCAATTTCCCGGATGTTCAAATTTTAAATGGGTGCCCTCTGTCAAAAATTCAATGAATTTATGTGCATGTATCATATTGTACGCCCCTATTTTTGAAGTATTGAATTACTACAGTGTTTTTGCAAATGTCTCTCGTACTTACAACAAACACCCATTCATTTATGTATTTTCTTTACAGTTATATCACCACTACCAGCAGCAACAGCAACGACAACAGCAAAAGTAACAGCACAAGTAACAGCACAAGTAACAGCACAAGTAACAGCACAAGTAACAGCATTGGCAGTAGCAGTAGCACCTTCAGAAGATGGGGTCTGGAAATTCCCCATACCATTTCCCTTAATCCCTTTATACCTTTATTAAGAGAATATAAAACTACTTCTCGCTCCTTTTTTAATCCAACCCCAGACAGCACTCTTAAACGTAAACGACGTTCAACGATCGAATCAAAAGATGCTAAGGTGAGTTCAAAACTTAGAGACGCTATAATTTTATTGTATTTTTATAGATTAAGATAAGTATTTAACTAAATTGATCCAAAGCATCAATAATTGAATCAGTTTTGCAATTTGAATTCCCAACTCACAGTCTTAAAGACTAGAATACTAAAAAATAAGACTAACAAGAATGGAATGATGGATTCTTAGAAACCTTTACATGTTGTCATCAATTAATTATTGCACGAATGTTGAGTTTTGAAATATCACTTATAGTGGACATAGACAGTGTCCTGCTGTAGGCTTAAGGACTTAAATACTAAAAATAAGACTAACAAGAATGGAATGATAGATTCCTAAAAACTAAAAATAAGACTAACAGGAATGAAATGATAGATTCCTAAAAACCTTTACCTACCTTTTTAACATACAGCTACCGCCTTCAGCAATGAAATATTGCACGAATTTAGTTGCAACTTATATTGGACAATAGAGAGTGTCCTGTTATAGGTTTAAGCGAACTGTGGATCTCATACTTTTCGAGAACCCTGCATACGTACAGACGAGAAGGCAGAGAGACATTTTCAATAAATATTTTAAAAACATGAGTAGCTATTGGTTACCTACCTGGAGAGCTTGAGATGGCAAATACGAGTATGTTAGTGGTCTTCTTAAAAGAAATAAATGACTGCTAACTGATCCATGACTCTTCATGCTTATCTTTGACACTTTTCAGTTACTTGAGATTTATAAAATACTATATTTATAATAACTTGCTGTGCCTGCTGCTCACACAACAAAGATAAGCCTAAAAATAAATGCTACTTATGAAAAGGTTCATTTAGATGCTACTCAGCCCTCGGGGTCAGTCTTCCACATCAGCAGCTCAGCAGCAGTCAGTAGTCGCTGCGATTTCAAGTAGCTGCAGTCTAGGCCTAACAATGGCAAAGACTCTGCTGCCACGCAGACAACTCGGCTGACTCCTGACTAGCTGGTTGCTTCTTTGGCAGACACTGTGGCAGGCAGCTGTGTTGATGCAAAGGATTTCAGCAAACGACTCCTATACATACATACTTATATATATTTTTAAGGGGGGTTCTTAAAGAGCAATTGAACGAAAAAAAAAAACGTGCAATGAGCAAAAAAATATATATACATTTCGCGTTTTATATACAAAACAGGGCAGCTTAACAGTGGAACCTCGAAGCATGAACTAAAGATTTGTTGAAGCTTCTTTCAGATATTTTGAATGAAACGGAATTAATATTTTAATATACATACTTCTATTTCTAATTTCTGTTTTATTTTATTATCTTACTTTGTTAATTCTTTAATTTATATATTTTATTATTATTTTATTTTATTAAACAAAGTGAATTATATTTTCTAAATAAATAGAATATATAAAAAAAATTTATATAAATTTAATAATTTAATGACCAATAAATATTAATATGGAATTTCTATTGTAGTTTATCTTTTTTTTTAAATTTATATATTTTTTTTTATTAAGCAAAGTGAATTATGTATATTTTCTAAATAATTAAAAAAAAAATTATATAAATTAAATCATTTAATGACAAATAATAATATGGAATTTTTATTTTATTTTATTATCTTTTTCTTATTTTTTAATTTTGTTACTTATATTTTATTATTTTATTATTATTTTATTTTATTATTTTATTTTATTAAACAAAGTGAATTATATTTTCTAAATAATTAAAAAAAATTATATAAATTTAATTGAAATGGAAAATAGTATGCAAATCATTTTAATGTATTTTGTTGAAAAATTTTGTATTGTCTTTCTGGGCTTTATAGAATTTTTGTGAATAGCGAAGTCTGTTTGTAATAATATTTCATAGATTAACCATAAAATGTACTATTGGCAGAAACGTCCTTCTAAATTCAAAAGTGTGTTTTGAAGAGAGTTCCTTCAGAATGATATTTGCATCTTATATTGCTCCCGTTGTAATGAGATTTTTGGGAATCACGTAAAACAGAAATGTCTAATGGAAAGTATTTTTAAAATTGAGGAAAAAAAGATCATTTTATGTTAGTTATGTTTGGGTTGTTAGTTATTTATTACATTTTTAAAATTGACATTTGATGTTATCTTAAAAATATTCCTATATAGGGAAGTCTGTAATAATATTTCATAGATCAATCATAAAAAGTACTATTGGAAATGTATAATAGAAAGTATTTTCAAAATTGAGGAATGATGATTTTATATTACTTCTTATTTCTCTGTGCTGTTTGCTTTCTTAACTGTTGGCCGTACTTAAGTATTTGGAGAGAAATGAGGAAACGTGTGCTGCTTATTTATATTGTTGTGTTTCTTTTTCGCAAATTATCCTTGAAAATGCATTGTAAAGAGGTTCAACTATATACGATATTTGCGTTGTTTTTGCAATTCAGCGACCCCAGCTAATACGTCAAGCAATTGTCGGCACAAACAAATGTCACTTTTTTTGCAGCACGTTCTATAAACTGTAGAAATTATTGTGCACAGCACAGGATAAGAATTCCAGAACACAGGCAACAACAACAACAAGAACAGCTCGCAAGGAGGGGGGAGGGGTGTTGGGCCGTCTTGCAATATGCTCGGCATATGCACGAAGGCTACAACGGCAACGAATGTTGAGAACGTTGCGCTTGCGCGCACACCTTGAGCAGAAACGCACACACACACACACTCATATAGAGGGGTGAGTTTTGCGCAGGACTAGAGTCAAGGCCTTGTAGTAGCGCGGTAAAATGTCCGTTAAGAAATTTGAAAATGTTTGCTAGTTATAGCTTAGCTTGAATTTTCGTGCGTCAGTGCTCATCAGACAAGAGGAAGAAGCATCGGGAAGAGGCATGGGGCAGAACTAGATCAAGAAGTGCCGTCGGCGTTGTTTGCTAACCACAAGTAGCGCAAGGGGTTGTGCATGCCTTTGCACCGTTCAAGGATCACTAGCCAGCCATCCGTGTGTTGTGCTTCTATCTAATTAAATATTCATCGAGACGACATTTGCTTGCTGGGCTAAGAAAGGATGACAAATGGTCGGCCGGTCGGTAGGATGGGCTGATTGCATATGCAGTTACTTGTTCCTTTTTCCTTTTTTACTACCGGTCTGCCACCGCATATGGGACAAGAAAGAAAGACAGAAAGTATGGTATGGTGCTACCTACCGGTATGGAACCGCCGCTTTATGCAAATGTCTTGCCAGGACTCCGCTCATTAGATTTCCGTTAAATTTTGTTTGAGCTCACTGGAAAAGTTTTTATGCAAATCATTTGATCCTCTGGCTTAGTTTCTTCTTATCGCTGATGTGCGTGCAACGTCATCTGTTTATGGGACCTTATGGTTTTTCTCTCCCTCTGCCCAGTTTTGTCTCCTTGTTGTTTTTTTTTTGGGTGAAATATTATACAATATTTGTTTTGCTCGCGCAAAAGCGAAAGGATAAAAATTATAGTATTATTTTACCAATTTGTCAATGTAATGTTACCCCTTTGTGTATGCCCGGGCATTGATACATGTAGGTTTTTGTCTTGTAAGCATGAAATGGGAATCTTTCCATCGAAATAAACCCCAAAAAAGGGTAGGGTAGTTGTCCCATCTCGATGGGTAGTGCAAATCAAGTGCGCTTGATTTCTGTCAAGTCAGAGGCTCGGAAAACTTGAAACTTGAATGCTTACAATGGGAAGAAGTGTGGAAGTATTGCAGATTTCGCAGGCATCTTGTGCTGGGACACTAATGCAGGAACTGGAATTTAGGGAAAGTTTTGCCTTTGCTGTCAATTTAAAAAGATTTCACTTAGACGAAAGGCAAACATCACGAGCATGTGACGAGTGAAGTTCCGTGTGAAAATGTAATCAAAGTGTTAGTTTTTTTAGAATAATGTGTTGTATTTTTTTTGAGAAGAATTAAAATGTTCTCAGCATTTAGAATATATTGCAAAGTTCTTATCAAATAAATTGCAAGCTTCATTCCTACGTTATTCCAATTTTACAATTTAATCTTGTTTGGGTTTAATAAAATTCTAGAATAGCTTTTTTTTTATAGAAGCCAGAAATCAAAGTCCTTTTCGCTGGCGTCAATGTCACGGAATGTGACATCAAAGAGGAGGGTTTCAAAACTTTTCGTATTACAAATTATTGAAAAAATGTAGTACAGACTCAAAAATCTACTAAATAAATCTTACTTTTATTTTTGAAAAGTTGCTTCTGGCATTTTCAATAAAACGAAACAAAAATATATATGGTTCTTAGTTTTAAAGGGTCTTGGATTTAAATGTGATTAATTATTAGAATTAGTTCCAATCAGGAATAAAACGTATGATAAAAAGTGGAAAAAATCTTGATTATAGAAAATTGTGTTGTTTTCTTATAATTATTGAAAAGAAATATTATGCAAAATTTTTTCAATTTTATTTTATTAAAATTGACAAATTCCTTTTTTTGCAAACATATTTATAAATATTTGTTTAAACTTATAATTTCATTTCAATATTATAAGTGATTACAATAATAGAGTTAATACTTATTTAAGTATGTTCGTTTAGTTGCTATAGTTTCCCATAACTATAAACTGTTAGATCATGGAGTATAATCTTTAAATGGGATGTAGGGTTAAGATCGTTTCTGTTTTCCCTCTGGCTACCATCATTAACTTCTTAGAGCTTCCCTTCCCAGGTTTTGTTCCTTACAATTGCGAGACTCTAATCCTTTGCAGGACCACAACAACTTAACCACACTATGCTTAATCCATTTTTCATGCATCAAACCAATTGCATGATTAATTACTTGCCACTCGACAGTGTAAGTTGCACGGACATAGCCACAGACAGTTGTCTGTCGGTCCCATATTTCCATAATGAAGTGCTCGAGAGCGTTGAAAAATGCGCAAGTCACGCGGACAATCGCGCAAGTAAATGACACCCATTAACCCCTTGCTGACCAGAGGTCAGTAAGTGGTTAAGATTTTACATATGAGAAATATGAGTGTTTGTTATGGTTAATGTGAAAAGGAATAC